CTGTTTGAACTTTACGCAAGAAAAATAGTAACCTTTTCAGACCTTTACTGTAATTCCTTCGTGTTTAATGTAGGAATTAATTATCAGTGCAGAGAAATGGTTGTACATTATTAAATTCTGTGCACGACAACCAATTCTTTTGATATATTCCATCAATTACTAAAATGTCGCGCAAATATTTCTAGTATTTTAAATCAGTTTACTAATCTGCATTCAGCTTTGTGCACAAGAACTTTTCAGCAAGCAAACTACATAAAAGACCAAAACTGCTATGCATGTTTTTGTTACAACAATGTCAGCAGTCTTTATTGAAATAGGCATTGGGTGATTGAATGAAAGATGGCCCTTGTTTTGTTCACAGTTCACAGCTTGATGAATAAATTGGCTCATCAATTTAATTTTCTGTTAAATCAAATGTGTATCATTGTTTTGAAACAGTATTCTGCATGGTGTTGCACTACTTTATATAATATCCGGATTAAGGTGGCCAGCTTTTGAATGTTAACACAGCAGTAGATATCGGTTGGTGATACCAGGGTCATTTTTCTTGATCAGAACTACAGTAGTTATTCACATTAACTTTGCTATATATTAATATAGTCATGCATTTTCTGTTGGATGTGTAACAGACAGTTGTTCGTGAAAGGCGCACATAACCTTTGCCATTAGGCAACAGTAATGTTGACGTTTTAGACCAGATTGAAATCCTGGCCTGAATTTGCATTTAACTCTTATGGGGTGAGCTTTGGCAGGTCTCTGTCCACCCTGTTGCATGGTAGAACACAGTTCATTCTGATTTTTTTTGTGTGTATCTCTTGTAGTTTTCTTTTTAAAAAATTAAGAAAGGTTTTTAATTTGTTTTGATTCTGGCAATGTGCTTTGCAGCATGTTTGCTGCACATCAGAGAATCTAAGCAGTATGAACTCAGTTTTACCTCTGGAGGTAAATGTCGTGATCCTGTCATTCATTTTTGCTACATAGCTGCACGTGGTTTGTCTGTTTATGGGTTGCTCAACAAGCTTCTCTATTTGAATCTGCAAAACTGTTTCCTGGAGCCCTTCCAGTGTAACCTCATACCTCCTGTGCACATTGCATTTGGTGTAAGTTTAGTGTAAGCGTAAAATAACGATTTCTACTTTTCTGTGGCATAGTAAGCAAACGTGAAGAGTCTGTAAATTTCAGGCTAAATTAGGCAGTGGATTAAAATCAGAACATTGGATCTATTTGATTTTTATGTAGATAAGAGAACAGACATACTATGCCTGTTCTTCTCTTATCTACATCTGGACTATTCTCATTCCTTTGCTGTGGACTGTGACCATTTGAACTGATCAATTTCCTGTGTGTTATGCAGGCCATATCTCCATAACAATCTAATTATGTTATACAATCATATGCAGCTTTTTAAAAAAAATCTCTAGTCCCAGCTACTCTGGTGTCATATCATTCCAGAAGTGTGAGGTTAATGAAATCTGGGAAATATGGCAACTAAACACTTAACCTCAACATAGCATAAATGTCTTCCCATTGGGACCACAAAATATGACCAATAAATATTGTGCCACCAAGGCCACAGGCTATCTAATTGCTTTTAATGGTACACTTAAAGTGCATTTGTTTTCCGATATTTTTAGTTTTGATTTTCTTTGGTTGGGGAAGTAGATCTGAAAACTGGATTTTATTTTTAAAAAGAAAAGTGTTCATACTTACAGTGCACAATACATTCATCTGAGTTCAGATTTTTTGGGGGTTGGATGAGTGTCTGACACATGCGGAAACCATGCTTAAGAGTATCCAAACTAAACTGAGAGTTTCATCTACACATGGAAGTATTTACTGGAATGGAATGCATACTACTTACTACTTACTTACTCCTACTTACTTAATTCTGGACAGTATTTGATGCAGATTGGCAAGAGCCAAGGCTTGAGGATCCCAGAGTGTGTATTGTGGTACTGCTGGAGTCCAACCAACTAAAGCCACATAGCTTGCCACTCAGAGCACTGCCTGGCACTGCCTGGCAAGCTTTCCTGCTGCTTGTCCAGCAAGGACTAGCCTACCTGTTAGGGCTTCGGCTTGCGTGTTTAACAGGAAACGAAGAATCCCTGCCCCAGTGACTAGTCTGCCCCTCCAAGGCCTGCTGTTGAGCAACCTGCTGTGCTATCAAAAGCAGTGCCCTGGAGTAGTGAGGTTGAGCCTGGATCACAAACTGGACTACCATGATCATCATAGAGGGCTGGCTTGATTCAGACATTTCGTTGCCAGACATATGACCCGAGAGCCAATTCAACTTCAAGGAGACTCTTTCTGTGTGGCAGCTAATGAGACTACTTTGTGGCAAAGCATCAGCTTTCACAGGATCACTGGAAGGTCATCGTTGATTATAGTGTTGTTGTTTTAAAGATCAAAAAAGAAAATCTAGATTCTTGTTACTGGTCACTTGGAAAAACTGAGTGGGAGCTGCATTAAGTGGTGCAGTGTTAAACCATGCTAACTACAACAACAACAACAACAAAATTACATTTGTATAGCGCCTTTCACTCGGGAGGACGTCTCAAGGCACTAACCAGTCAATGTTTCGGACCCGAGCTACGGCTCGGGATTGGGAGTGGAGGGCAGGGATTGAAAGAGTGGAGGAGGATAATCGAAAGCACGGTCGAAGAAGAGGGTCTTGAAATGGGTTTTCAAAGAGACAATGGAGGAGACGATATGGAGGGGCTGTGGGATGGAGTTCCAGAGGCTGGGGGCAGAGTGGCAGAAGGCCCGCCCGCCAATGGTGGGGTGGGCGAGGCGGGGGACGTGAAGCAGGACAGAGCCCACTGAACGAAGGGAACGGGCAGGATAGTAGAGGTAGGAGGGAGCAAGGCAATAAAGGGCTTTGAAGATGAGGACCAGGATCTTGAACTGTATCTTCTGTGTGATGGGAAGCCAGTGGAGTCGGGCGAGGATGGGGGTGATAGGGTCACGGAGCCTGGTGCAGGAGAGGACTCGGGCTGCAGAGTTCTGAATGATCTTCAGTCTATGGAGGGAGGAGTTGGGGAGGCCGACAAGCAGGGAGTTTGCAATAGTCAAGCTTTGATGTTCTGAATGAGTGTATGAAGGGTTCGGCTGTCTGCGGTGTGAGACAGTGGCGGTGCCGGGTGATGTTGCAGAGGTGGGCAAGGCAGAATGGGTCATGACACAGATGTGAGGTAGAGAAGATAGTTGAGGGTCAAACAAGACCCCAAGGTTCCGGACTGGCTTAGTAAGGTGGAGTGTACAACCAGGGATGGTGATGCTGTCAGCGCCTGAGGTGAGGAGGGGCTGACGGGAGCCAATCAGGAGAGCCTCGGCCTTGTTGACGTTCAACTGAAGAAAGTTCGCTCTCATCCAGGAATTGATGTCTGACAGGACAGCAGTGGTCCTGGAACCAAGGGTGGAGGCAGAGAGATAGAGTTGGGTGTCATCCGCATACATGTGGAAGTTGACCATGTCTCCGGATAATGTCACCAAGAGGGAGAATATAGAGCCCTGAGGAACGCAGCACGAGACAGTGCGGGGGCTAGATGAAAAGCCGTTTATGGAGGTGAAGTGGAGGCGGTGTGAGAGGTACGATCTGAACCATTGAAGGACAGAACCGTGGAGGTTGAGGTGAGAGGAGAGGCAGCGAATAAGGATAGAGTTGTCAAAGGTGTTGAAGGCAGCAGAGAGGACGAGGAGGTAGAGGGAGCCCTGGATGCAGATGAACCGAATGTCATTTGTAACTTTGACCAGGGCGGTTTCTGTGCTGTGGGCAGCAGGGAAACCCGATTGGAGGGGTTCGTGAAGGGAGTGGCGGGAGAGGAAGGAGCGAAGCGAAGCAACAACTTGTTCCAGGACCTTGGAGAGGAAGGGAGGTTGGAGATGGGGTGGTAGTTTGAGAGCGGGAATGGGTCCAACGTTTTTTAAGGATAGGAGTGATGACGGATGTTTTTAACGGGGTGGGAACAGTACCAGTGGACGGGGAGAAGTTTACGATGGATCAGATACAAAATCTTTTATCAGTGTTGTTCGCCAGCTGATCTTGGCTAGGACAGCAAGTGTGGGACAGGGGAGAGAAGGAAGGGAGGGGGATGAGACAAGTAGTTTGTGTCCCTGGAATTTGGAGAGGAAAAAGCAAATCACTATGATGTTTTACCCAGCCGAGACCTGTGTCAGTGCACAACAGCTGGAGTCAAAACTTTTAGGGGAGAAGTGGGGCGAAAGAGGGAAAGAAATACCAAGATCTCTAGTACTTAATAACTAATGACTCTGAACAGTATAATACAATATCAATGAGTTAGGCTAGTCTGTGACCATTTCACTTGCCGAACAGTAATTGATAGCATCCATTAAAATGGGCAGACTGGAATTCATGGGGAAGATGAGGTCGGGTCACTCCATCCCTAGACAGACTGGAACAATATCCAGTCTAGTTATCCATGTTACTTGTTTTGTTTGAGTAATGTGTGCAGCAGTAACCAAGGTTAAGATGAAAAGATGAAGGACTTTTCTGGCAAGCTTCCAAATGCGGTAGCTCTTATTTTTGCAGCAGTCTGTTTATTTTCAACCATTTGCACCCGCAATAAACAGACTGCTGCAAAAAAAACCTTAAGACATTACAATGGAGAGGATTGTAAGATGTTTTGTGAGGGTTTGACTACAAAATACTCACCCACTGCACTTTAGCACCTGTGAAATGCTTTGAGATGTCCTCCTAACCTAAAAGATGCTCAATCAAATGAAATAATTATTATTACTATTAAGCTAGTTTCAGAAATACAGAATGTGGTCCTAATGAAGACCATTATATTTTGCTAGGTAGGTGGCCGAGGTGTTGAAATTTGTGGTGCCTGCGTGGAGACAACAATGTTTATTGTGAATGATGGTGAAGCTTGGGAAAGATCCAGAGTTGGTCAGAATTCACGTTAATCCCACTTTTTGCCTCTAAAGGGACTGACTCCATTTACAGCTGTAAAGTATGTATTTCTTTGTGTTTTCAGGTATTTGGGAACACTCCTCCTGGCACTATGACAGAGAAATTTTCAGACCTTCTTCAGTTTGCTGCCCAAGTTTCCCGTTTGATGGTGACTGAGATCAGGAGGAGAGCTTCAAACAAATCCACAGGTATTATGCACCTAGTTATGGCTATTTGGAAGGTTATACTGGTTTTAATAGGGTCATGTTATAAATGCGATACCACAATGAGTGGTTAACCTTGACAGAATGCCAAGGTAGAACTATATCTTGTAATAAAGCTTCCAAATGTGTTAACTGTTAAATTGCATTACCCCATCTGCTGAAACTATAGCCAGTGAGTGTAATATGAAGGGTATAAATTCCATACTATATCATACCTGAAAAATAATGGTCACAAGACTCACTAATCACATTGTTTTGCAGAGAATTAATTTAAGCAACATGCACTTGGGGGATTATGACACACGCAGCATTAAACCAACCCTGTGTAATAAATACTTTATTCAGAGGATAGGACAAACTATTTGATTAATTACAAAATGACGTTGCAGTACAAATGACTGAGAGATTTGTGATTTGTTTTCCTTTCACTGTTGTATGATCTGTTTTACCCAGAACTTTGCTTCCAATTTTATCTTGAGTTTCACAAAAGTGTTCAGAACTGGGCATAGATTGTTGCATAAAAGGTAATTGAAAGTTTCTGAATGGGAAAATTAAAACTGGGGTTGAGGTATTTTTCTGAGATTGAGACTAAGATAAATTATTGGAGCACAAAATAGGAGGTTTTACTTAAAAAGATTCAGTACAGACCAGGTTAAGTGAAGCTTAAGATTTATAATACTATTGTACATCCCAGAACGTGCCAAATATCTACATTATTACACAGATAATGTACTATTGTACATCCTAGAGCTTGCATTTCTGGGATGTACAATAGTATCTCAAAGCGCTTCACAGAATACAGAATACAGAATTCACTGTAAAGTGAATTGACTGTATTTTGTGGGCGAAATGCGGCAGCCAATTGTGCACAGCAGTGTCCCACAAACAGTCGTGGATTGAATGACCACATTTTGTTAAGCTTCTCTTTTTGGGGATATTACCTCAATGGGGTTGTGGGTATGATGCATGGATATTTACCACTTTTCCTTTCGCTAACAGAGGCAGCGAGTCGTGCCATTGTTCAGTTTCTGGAGATTAATCAAAGTGAAGAATCGAGCAGAGGTTGGATGCTTCTCACCACCATCAACCTGCTGGCATCGTCCGGGCAGGTTAGTTGAACAACAAGGGAATTTAATAAGACCTGACGTTTTGCAGTATGGGGCTGCAAAATATGGGGTTAGCAGGTCACAGAGGTAGGAAGGAGCAAAGACAATTTCAAGTCTGCAAACAAAAAAGTTGTGTGTTGAAAATCTCAAAACTGTTGACCAAGCAAAATCTAAATCCAAAGGAACCGTTGCCCAGAGATTGCTTGGTGTTATTTCTTTTTATTGATATGTGTAATACCTGAAGTGGTTTCGACCAATACACAATACAAAATTATATTTGTGTAGCACCTTTCACATCGGGAGGATGTACCAAGCTGCTGGAATGTCAGGGATTTGGATCCGAGTAGGGGGGTTGGGATCATGGAGGGTGGCGGGTAGGAGGATGGCCGAAGGCTCGGTCGAAGAGGAGGGTTTTGCGACGTGCCTTGAAGGAGGCAAGGGAGGGAGCGAGGCTAATGGAATGTGGGATGGAGTTCAGGCGCTGACAGCATCAGCATCCAAGGCTGCACTCTCCACCTCTCAAAGCAGTCAGGAACCTTGGTGTTCTGTTCGACCCTGAGCTGTCCTTTCTTCCTCATATCCGCGCCACAACTGGCACTGCCTTCCACCACCTCCGGAATATCGCCAGACTGCGGCACTACCTCACCCCTCACGCCGCTGAAACTCTGGTCCACGCCTTTATCACCTCAAGGCTGGACTATGGGAACTCTCTCCTCGCCGGCCTTCCCGGCACCTCCCTCCACAAGCTGCAGGTCATTCAGAACTCTGCAGCTCGTATACTGTCCCGCACCAGGCTTCGGGACCACATCACTCCCACCCTCGCTCGCCTCCACTGGCTCCCCATCCCCAGAGGATCGAATTCAAGATCCTCATCCTCACCTACAAGGCCATTCACGGCCTCGCTCCCTCCTACCTCTCCGACCTACTATCCCCTACCTACCTGCCCGTACCCTCCGTTCCTCTGGTTCCGGTCTGCACCACATCCCCCGCCCCAACCGCCCTACCATCGGTGGTCGGGCCTTCAGCCTCTCAGCCCCCAGGCTCTGGAAGTCTATCCCCCAGTGCCTTCGCCGCCTCCTCCCTTTCCTCCTTCAAGGCCGGTCTCAAGACCTTTCTCTTTGACCGTGCCTTCAGCTCCCCTCTCGACTCTCTACCCCCTCCTCCCTCCCTTCCTTCCCTCCCCTCACCCTGACCATTTCCCCCCTGCTCGGGTCCCGATCCAACTGTCCAGCGCCTTGGGACGTTCTTCCGACGTGAAAGGCGCTCTATAAATGAACGTTGTTGTTGTTGTTCCAAAGGGTCGGGTCAGAGGGGCTGAAGGCCCAACCGCTGATAGTGGGTCGGGCCGAGATGGGTGGGGGGTGTACTATTGTACATCCCAGAGCTTGCATTTCTAGGATGTACAATAATATCTCAAAGCGCTTCACAGAATACACTGTAAAATGAATTGACTGTATTTTGTGGGCTAAATGCGGCAGCCAATTGCACACAGCAGTGACCCACAGGCCACAGCTTGCTGAGCGGAGGGAGCGTACAGGTTGATATGGGGTTAGCAGGTCACAGAGGTAGGAAGGACCAAAGACAATTTCAAGTCTGAAAACAAAAAAGTTGTGTGGTCTGTTGAAACTTGTTGAGAGTTGCCAATAGCATTTTCCACACATTGGCCATTCATGTTTCATACAGTATCCCATTGTGCGTTAGCTACAGACTTAAGGAGGTGGTGGTAGGGGAGCAATTTTTCATAAGTGATACTGATCTCTCCCTATACATCAGGCAATGGAGAGTATTGCAGCAATAATATTGAGTTGCATTGTTTCACATTTTGAGAAAATCAGTTAAGAATCCTCTCCACAAATACAAAAATTCCAATAATAGTTGCATATTCAATGATTATTATGTTTATTTAAATGAAGAAAATTGGTGATGAGAAATATTTTTTAATTTTTGTGTAAAAGAGGCTAAATGCTGAGGTTGTGCTTTGTTGGGCTCTGAAGCTTCTAGATCTGGCTGCAGTTGTGCTTCTTGTGATGTCTTTGAGCAAAATAAATGCCGTATGGTTCAGGAAGTTAGATGGGTACATGCTTTTTTGTTGTTGGTTAGCTAGGTGTCAGATACATGCAGAAACCCATCACATGCTTTGGAGTATCCAAACCTCTTAAGCATTGTTGTATCCTGCAGACCAAAATATTCTTGTAATGTGCACTTAAGAGACAATAAATGGAGCAGAAAGCTGCATGCAAGATGCATTACAAATATAATGCCCGCTTGGTGCACAAGAGAATAAAAAATCGCAAACTAATCCATGCCATTAAAATTAACGACTGGGTATTCACACACCCAGCGAAGACTGGTTGCTTTTATAAAAGGTTTGTTGCATTCAAATATTGAAAGACCTTGTTTAAAACAATTCTTGAAGCAGTAGCTTGGTTTTATTACGCTTAGGCCATTAAGTCTGGAGCAGAGTTTTCTCCCTCTTAGTTCCCATTTGTCTTCTTCACGTGCCTTGTTCCCTCTGCTCCACTATTGGTGGCCGTGCTTTCAGACACTATGCTCTGAATCTCTGGAACTCCCTTCCTCAATCCCTCTGTCCCCTCTTTAAATCACATCTGAAGACTTTCTTGTCGACTGTGCCTTCTCATTCCAGCTCAATGTCAAACCTGTTAAGCACTCTGAGATGCTACTTGAATGAAGGGCATTACATAAATGCAAGTTGTTGTTGTTAATCCTGCAAGCAAAAACCTCTAATAAGTAGGGTAGTCCTAGCTGGACAAACAGCAAGCTTTCCAGAAAAAAATGTGTTCTCCCTGGCTCTACCTTAAATTGAAGTACTGACAGAGAATGCAGAAATGATTTGGTGAATTGAGGTAGAAAGGAAGGCAGAAAGGAAGGCAACCAGCCAGTTGAGCTCTTGTGTTTGTAAACAGCTAATGCAGCTTTGTTATAAGGCAAGTTAGGATTTTATGCATCTAATCTGCAGCCTTACAATGCAATCCACTCTATTTGATTTTTATTCTTTATCTTGTAATTTATACTCCAAAGATATCCATTAGCAATAAGAGTTTTGTACCATTTAAACAATGAATTCCCATTATTTTCTAAGTGAAGGAAAAATATGGCCAGCTCTTTGAGTGCAAATAACCTTGGAATCGAAATTGGGCAACTCCAGAATCCCTATAACTTCTGTCTGTGGAGACTATAAAATGGAATATTCTTGCAGATATATGGATCATTGGCTTTGCCTTGACAAATATCTCCCACTGAGGGCACGATTTCTGCTTTTTCCTTTTCTCGTAGATTCCTATTTATCCTGTCTTTCAGCTTGCTGTCTCTCTGTCCTTTTGGCAGTGACTAGCATGTAGTAGCTTCATTTGAACTTTAAGCCAGCTGCATGTCATCCTTCCTCAAATTCTGGTAATTTGTTCATATCCTAAGTTTTCTTTAACTGGTTGAAATGCAGTAGTTTGGTATAGCAGCAGCTTTGGTGGAAATTCCGGTGAATTTGAAGAACGCTGGCTGCTTTGTCCAGTGTTATCAATTCTGTGCCATTCAAGAATAGCGGACCAGTTGTAATCCTGGGAATCCCGTATGGTAATAGTACTCCAAAATTATGGGATTCATTGAAGAGATTTTGGGATTGTATAGAGGGAAGGATGGGTCTTTCCACTCTGCTTGAAGCAGGCCAACCATTGTTGTGAGGATGAGCAGGTGAGAGCAGATGGATGGGTGTTTAATAAATCTTTGCACTTGATGTAACGCCTTATCATGGCGTTGAGCCATCTCAAAGTGCTTCACAGAATATACTGCAAATATACTTAAACCTCCTGGGCCCCTTCCCATGACGGGACGCTCTCTCCGAGATACCAAGGTTGTACGAAGTATGATTGGAGGCATCCTGGAGGAGGTACGATTCAGGACCCTGGGATTTGGGGCATTAAAATTCCCAAATCCTAGGATTGTAAAAGAGCACGAGGATTGCAACACCTAGTCACTAGAATAACCTTACTGAAGTGCATAAATTATGTTGTCTTATATTCGCTCCTCATCCAAATTCACCCCATAAAATCCCATGAATTGGCTACTTGTCTTGTTTTTTGGTCTTCAGCAAATTAACTTGTGTCTTTGCCTCCTTAACAACAGTACTTCATTTGTAATTTACCTAATTTTTGAGATGTTTCTTTTTACTTGAAATGCTATGTAAGTGTAAGGTGATAGGTAACACTGCAGGTAGCATATATATGTGGATCTCTCAGTCTGATTTGGATACTCTTAAGCTTGATGATTTCCATCAGGTGTCAGACTTAAAAAGTTGACTTTTTAAAAAACAAGTAGAGCTTCATCACTTTTCTTGCTTCTCAGTTCATGAGGATGTCACCCTAGGCCTTGCGTCGATCAGATACCACATTTTGCGTATATATAAATATATATACATTCTTGTTTATTGGATGTTGCTGATCCACTGGTATAAAGTTCAATTGTATTCAAAGCCTTGTTATACTCAATTGCCTTGTTATAATTTACTTTATTTGGGAATTGGCTATAATGCAGTTGGGGTGTGGGCCGTGTCCACTATGTATACCTACGGCTGACTTGCTCCCTTCCCTCGCGCCAGGTGGCTTTTGTGTGAAAATGAACGACTTTCAGGTTATTGGGTTGCAGTCAACATCACTTCCCGCTTTGTGCATGCTCAGCAAATGGTGATGAGCTGATGACATGGAAGTCGACCATATTTAGCTCGGGCACAGGCTGGTTCCCAAGGGCAGTGAGCACATGTGGAATGAAACCTCTGAACATCACCTCCCCACAAGGGGTAATAATAATCATCCTCTCAGCACAACAAATCTTTTTTCACTCAGCATTTTTTTTTGACTGGTGACTTTTCCGCAATGTTCAGAAAGCGATATAAATTGTTGAATAGCTGAGCTGGCCATCTCAGCAGCAAAATCTTAACAATTCATTTTTATTTCATTGATGGTTTGAAAAACTGCCAAGAGCAGTGTCTGGCTAAGATCATTTGTTAAATATTGTATTAAACATATTGAGATGAAAGGGCCATTAATGCAATTGAACTGTTTCCCAATGCACCAACGCGTCCCATAGACAGCAATGAAAATGCCTATCTGGTATTTCAATCTTGTTTACTGTAAACTCATGGTTGATCTATTTGACTCCATGTTTTTGTATAAACAAAAATATTTTACTTTTGACGCAGAAGTGAGGGGCTCAATGGTGGCAAAAGCAAGCTGCTGTACCAGAGTTAGCCTACATTTATTGAAGAACTCCATCAATCCTGCATTTAAGATTTTTATGAGAGGGATATTGTTCAAACGCTTAACTTACTTATTGTGTCAATGTTTTAGGGAGTTCTGGTGTAATATTTAAAATAAACAAGAGTGTGTTATCAAACTTGCCTGGTTTCAGCAATTAAACCCCATCACATGTTTGCATCATTAAATTGCAAGTGCATAAAATGAAATTTGATTGGATTTGATTGAATGTTATGCACAGATAGGCTGTGCCCATCAAATCAGTGTTGATGGTTTTCTTTGCATGAGCTGCCTGATCCCCATTTGTCTTCCATACTCTTCTCAACGACATGATGAGGCGCTACATCAAATACAAGCATTATTATTTATTATATTAATATGCTTCTGTTAAATTCTTTTGTCTGAGCATTGCCTAAAATAGTTGTACACACTGCAATGCAGCATTTCATTTTCTGTTGGAGTTCAAGTCGGTAAATACACCCTGGTGTGTGGCTCTAAGCCATACAGCCAGAGTCAATCCCTGGCCTGTGTTAGCAAATCTCAGCAGGGCTGCGGAGGGAGTTGCTACAAGTTGGCCCAACCCCATCCAGGGAGGGGAGGAGGAAGAAGAGAAGAACAAATCCTGCTTGTTGCTGCTATCCAACTATTGCAGTTGTTCGTGTAGGGATACTGGGCGAGAACTAGGTCAGCTGTAATGTCAAATAGCTTGCTGATGCTTACTGTTCAAGTTTAGGAATGAAGACTGACTATTGGGGAAGGGATATAGGAAAGGCTTCTAGTGCCTGTGGAACTGATCACATGTTTTTCTGTTATCAGGAGAAAGGGTTGCAGTAGGCGGGTGAGTGGAGGAATTGAGATGGAACCCCCCCCAGCAAAACTGTTTGATATTTTACTGTCAACTATCTGTCGCTCAGTTAGTACCAGAACAGTTTCTCATTGAAAAGAGGGGGAGTTAGAAGACCCATCACCTTAATACCATTCTCTAGAGAAACCCCACATGCCTTTCTTAAGGCTGGTTCCTAAATATGAGCAAGTTGCCTGCTGAGCCTCTTGGTTAGTTGTGGCAGAGGGAATTTCGATGAATAATATTTATAATCCTGGCATTTGCCAGGATTATAATGTGCCTTATTACATTGGTCACAATATGTTTAGTGGAGCAGTAAAAAGGAAGCAAGCACTGAAAGCCGAAATGTCACATTTTAGTGCGAGTCATGGAAACGGCAGAACTGGTGACTCTGATGGAGGAAGGCCAGACGATATTTTTGTTTGACATTATTCAGAACTCAGGAGAAGGGCTGAGGCCCAGGCTTTACAGCACCAGCTAGCACAGAAACGTGACGCATCAAAAAGGAGTTGTCAGTAATGCCAAACTTTGGTTTTAAAAGCCTGTGGATTGAATGAGATAAGTGACAAGAGTCTACAGCCTTGGGCATTTTGGATGGACGTTGAATTCAAAATACTTGTTGCTCACTCAAAAAGTGAACAAATGATTCATGCATAATTTAGATTCACAAGTTTTTCTTGTTCAGAATACAGATTATTCTGCTTCAGTGTGAGCCTCTTAATGGAGCAATCCAAAAATAACCAGGCTCCGGCCCGCTAAGAGAATTCAGTCCTGCTATGCCAGGACACTGTTCTGTGCCTTAGTTCGTACATGAATGCTTTACCTTTTCTAGGTTTTACTAGTCTTGAGCAGTGTGCTTAAAACTCCAGAAGATAACAATTAAATGTGCAATCAAATCTCAAGTTCAATGTGGGTAACAAAACTCTTTTGATTATCTTTCATTTTAAACAGAAAACTGTGGACTACATGACTACCATGTCTTTGCCTTCCACGTTGGTGAAATGTCTGTATCTATTCTTCGACCTCCCACATGTGCCTGAGGTTCCTGGAGCAGCTCAGACAGAGCTGCCACTTAGTGAGCGGCGAGCACTGCTGCAGAAAGTCTTTGTCCAGGTGAGATATTCTTTTACCTATTCAGTGTTGTACAGATGAGGTATTCTTTTATTTAATCAATTCAGTGTTTCACTGTGATTTCCTATCATTTCAAATTGAAAATTTTACCCAAGGTATTGCATTGATCAGTTTATAACCAATAAACTGGATCAGTAGTCATCCTTAATTGGCATTATTGACAGTAACATTTCAAATTCTTCATTCGTACTGCTGATGAATTGTGCTGAACATCAATATATAATGTTTAATAGAGATACACTCCTAGTGGCTTCCGGGGGGTTGCATAGGTAAATCGGTAAAAATCTGGGTTTATTTTGGAATATCTGCTTAATGGCAAATACAACATAATACACTCGGCATTCCCAGACCCAGTTTATTGTATTTTCTATGCTTTCCTGGAGCAAGCAGTCCAACAAGGCGAGTTTCAGATACGTGGATACCATTACAGGTGATGAATAAAATCAGCAAATTTGCTGGGTTTTACAAATGATGTTCTGGTGAATTTTTTTTGACCAATTGATTTTCACTCAAAGATGACTATTTATCAGTGATTTTTAAAAAAACTTTAATTTTTTTGTGTTCTGCTTGGTTTCTTCCCTCTTCCACAATTTAGCTGCCTGTCCTTATTTTAATTTAAAAAATGCCAAAATAAATACTGTGCCATTTGACTAATAATAATAACAATAGTCTTTTACTGCCTGTCTGGATTCGTCATCATATTTGAGTCTAACCAAATTGTCAGATTCACCTTAATTTAAAACGAGCAAAACTGACATAATGGGCTAAGACCTCAAATGAGTGTTCAGATAAAATCTCTTCTGTTTGAATACCAAAATTTCCACTCTCTGTGATTACAAAATCCATCAATTTCTGTCTCTGTCTAGACGTAGACTTGTTTTATATTTGTTTCAGATTCCAACAAAATAAAATTATGCACTTCAAAATTTGCCTTACAGCCTAAAGCTGTAAATGTGTTTGTGTTGCCTTCCATGCCCATTCATTTTGAAATGCCTTGGTAGTGTGCAGCTTGATAAGATCAGGGGAATGGAGAACAAAATAGGATTTTTATATCCACTAAAATATTTTAAAAACACATTCTTATTGAAGGATTCGAGTTTGGCTCTTTTGCTTTGGGAGGAGGTGGGGAGAATGGAAGCTAATGCATCTAACGGTTACGATTTCAATCTAGTTGAAGATCTCTCAGTAGCTTGAAGTGAAATGTGAATGCAGCTTTCTCTCCCCAGGAAATGATGAATAACTCTGATAGCTCAGTGAACTTGTTGATTTTCTGAGTTGCAGAGATGCTGATGTTATTAAAGTCATAAATACCAGATACAGTAATGTTTCTGGTTATACATCAGTAAGTTGCTTGCTCATTATATTTCTCCTCATAGGAAATGGGTGTCTCATTTACCAAAATTAAATTCTGTAGAACAATTCAGTAGATATGTTGCTCTGAAATTTCAAAGGCTATTTCTAATTGATGTTTTTAGAAAAAGTCTACTGAGGTGTCTGTGAACAACAACTAAAAATTGCATTTATAGAGTACCTTTCATGTTGAGAGCTGTTCCAAGGCACTAGACAGTTAAGGGTTTGCACCTGAGCTGAGGATTGAATTCGGGAAAGGTGGGAGGTGGGGTTGGAGATGACTGAAGGCCAGGTCAAAAAGTGAAGGTCTTGCGACAGACCTTGAAGGAGGCAAGGGAGGGGACCAGGTGACGGGACTCCGGGTTGGAGTTCCAGAGAGTGAGGGCAGGAGACTGAAGATGGTGGGGAGGGCAGGGAGGGGGACGTGAAGCAGGTCAGTACATGGCGAGCGGAGGGAGCGCGCAGAGGTAAGGCGGGGCAAGACTATGGAAGGTTTTAAAAGTGAGGATGAGGATCTTGAAATTAATCCTCTGGGGAGGGTGGGAGGAGAGCCAGTGGAGCCGGGTGGCTATTGATGTGATAGGCTTGCGAAGCCTAATGTGGGAGAGGAAACAAGCTACATAGTTCGGAATGGTCTACAGCTTGTGGAGGGAAGAGTTGGGAGGTCCAATGAGTAGAGAGTTTGAGTAGTCAATTCTGGAAGTGATAAAAGCATGGATAAGGGTCTCAGCAGCCTGAGGGGAGAGGTAGTGGTGGAGTCGCGCAATGTTGCGGCGGTGGGAGAAAGCTGAACGAGTCAGGGCCCGGGATGTGGAGTTGAAAGGACAATTGAGAGTAGAACAATTTACCCAGCTTCCATACAGGTGGAGTGTGCACCTGTAGATTGATACTGTCAGCGGTGTGAAGCTGCAAGAGCAAGTTAACTGTCAACTTAGACTAACCAAAAGCTCACAGCCTTAATAAATACACATATATCATCACAGTAAAGAAAATTGGGAACACTCGCTTATATTTCTCTGCTCCACGGCCTCAATGGCATAACACAGGAAGAATATGGATTCTGAGTTAAGAGTATTGGGTCCAGTTTTGGTCACCCCGTTTTCGGAAGGCTGGAGAGCTTATAAATACAGTCATCGCACTTGATAGAAACCTCTGTCAGGAGTTTTGAATGTGCATGAAATAGGTTATTTTGGGTATTATTATTATATAATTATTATTATTATAAGGACATCATAGCCATAGAGGGGATAGAGAGGAGATTTATTAGGATGGTATCAGGGGTGCCCGATTTGATCTATAAGCAGAGATTTGAGGAAGTGGGCATATTTTTACTGCAACAGAGAAGTTTGAGTGAGATCTGCTGGAGCTTTTTAAAATTATGAAGGCGTTTTGATGGTCAGTAGAGAGAAATCATTTCCACTGAGCGATGAGTCAGACTAGAGAGCATTGATTTAAGATAATTAGCCAATGGGAAATGATGAGGTGTTTACACTGAAAGTTTTGTGATGTGGACTGCCCTGCAGGATCTAAACAGGATCCATATTAGCTTTCAAGAAAGAACTAGATTACAAATGTGATTTGTTGTTGTTAAGCGCCTTTCACGTTGGGAGGACGCCCCAAGACGCCCCAAGTCAGGGATTTGGACCTGAGCTGGGGTTTGGGATCAGGAGGGGTGGAGGGCAGGGAGGGTAGGGGTAGGAGGATGACCGAAGATGCATTCGAAGAAGAAGGTCTTGAGCCAGGCCTTGAATGAGGCTAGGGAGGGAGCGAGGCGAAGGGACTCCAGAATGGAGTTCCAAAGGGTGAGGATAGAAAGGCCGAAGGTCTGACCGCTGATGGTGGGATGGATTGGTCAGAGAACGTGGATCAGGCCAGAGCCTGCTGAGCAGAGGGAGTGGACAGATCTATATGGAGTTAGCAGGTCACAGAACAGGGAGGAGAAAGGACGAGGATTTTGAACTCTATTCTTTGAGGGATGGGGAGCCAGGGAAGCTGGGTGAGGATGGGGGTGATAAGGTCATGAAGCTTGGGAGATAAAAAGGAATAATTTACAGAGGTATGGGGATAAGCCAACTAAAAGGATCTGAATGGATTGTTCGTTCAAAGAGCTAGTTCAAGCGCTCTGAAACTTCCTCCTGTGAAGGCTTTACATCAAATGCGAGTACTATTATAATAATTATTACAAACATGATGGGCCAAGTGGTCTTATTCTATGTTGTGTTCTGTGTTAATGAAATTTTCCCAGGTTTCACAAGCTTCCTACCTGGTCAATTATCAATGGTATGTTGGTTTATTGCTTTTGTGTTTTATCTTGTTAGATCTTAGTGAAACTCTGCAACTACATCTCACCAGCAGAAGAGCTAGCCCAGAAAGATGACCTCCAGCTCCTGTTCAGTGCAATAACCTCCTGGTGTCCTCCCCACAATATCCTCTGGAGAAAGAGTGCCGGAGAGGTACTAATGACCATATCACGTCATGGACTCAGCATCAATGTGGTCAAATACATCCATGGTATGCATATGCAACTCATATCTTTTGAGTGTTTTCAGAAAGGAGTGCAGAGGGGTCCTAAAGTCTGTTTTATCTCCAAATTGTAGCTTTTAGATCTCTGGTGACTGAAGCTAACACATGGGCAAGATGCTTAAAAATCTCTTACTTGTGCATTGGCTAGCCAGCGCTGGCAACATGATAGTCCTTTAATGTTTGATCCAACAGTTAAGATCATTAGCCTATTTTTGCTTTTATTAGTGAATTGTCCTTGTTGTGAATTTGGGATTTTGTCATCCATCAGTTTTGATGGACTGAAAAGTGATCTGAGTAACTGAGTTCTGTTATTACTGTGGTACCCACAAGATAAGGTTCAACTGTATACTTTTTTGTTGTGTTGAGTGACTTAACTGCAAGCAATGCCACGTAGCAATGCTGTTCAAATACTTAGTATTTAAACTGTTCGTTGATATTTTTACCTCTTTTTCTCTACCCGATTTTAAAAAAAAGTTTAAAAACATTATTTTGAAATCAATTGAAGAAATTGAAAAATAAATTGAAAACAAATGTGGCTTTTAATGTGCAACACTGAAGAATACACAAGCAATAAAAAGTGCTGCCACAGTTGAATTCCTCTGAAGTATAACTGTGTCCTGAAAATCAATGGCCTTTAAAACTAGTTTTCAGGAAATTGAACCAGTTTTCCTAAAATTGTTGTCTCGAAGATGAACAGTCGCTATGGAAAAGGAGAAAAATATAATATTAATAATAATCTTTGCATCTGATATAGCTTCTTTTCGCATTATTGAGACGTCTCAAAGAGGTTCACAGTAGCGTAAAATGATGTGGCTGTGTGTAATTTGTGGGTGAACTCAGCAGCCAATTTACACACACTCACATCCCACAAACAGCCATGGATAAATGAAAGCGGAAAAAAACAATCAGAAATGAGGTAGTTTGTATCAAAGAATGGGGATGGGGGAAATGAAAAGTTACATTGATCGCATGAGCAGAAGTGAGAATGTTTATTTTTAATGAATTCTATTTTACGAATTGCAAAGGAAGTACTACTGGGAAAAGCTTTATTATTACTATGCTACTAGTGCTTATTGGTGAACTACCAGAATAATAATCCTTATCTAATTACACTGAGATGTCTTAAAGTGTATCACAGGAGTTAGTATAGCATACTAGTGACTGTATTTTGTAGTCAAATATGGCGTTTGGACACAGAAGTATCCTGCATATAGCCATGAAGTGAATGACCAATTTTATTTGTGGGATTGGTAATTGGTAGGTTGCCTTCCTGGATTCGCCTGCTCTTAGATTTCATTAAAAGAAAATTAATATGTGTTTAGCGCTCTGAGACACGACCTTGTGTGAAGGGCATTATATAATGTAAGTAGTTGTTTATATAAGAAAGTCCATCTTAGGTCAAACTCAATCATCAAAGTACAGATTTGGGGGAAAAAACTATTTTTGTGAAAAATAATTTCTAACACTCAGTAATAATTTAAATTTGTAGATGTTCTTATCATAACCAGATATTGAAGAGAAATTTGTAATCCTGCTGTATACTCTAGTTGCTAGACTATTATCACAGTCATGTATGAAAAGGGCTAAGAAGTAATTGCCTTGGGAAAGGCACTGCTTTGTGTGAAGTTGAGACTCACAGATACGGAAGTGTCAGAATAGTCAGTACTCACTGTCTGGGTTCACATATGAAGAATTATAGTGAGTGAGGTACCAGTGGATGCCCGGCATCAATGATGTACCAGCAGAAGTCAGCATCTTTTGATGCAAAATTGAATCAAAACAAACTTTAAATAAAATCAATTGTACTCTGGAATGATAAAATTCTTACTTAGTTGACAAATTACGAGAAGTATGTATGTGCAGAATGTGGAAAGGCCATCTTTATTGATCCATTTTACCTCTAGCATTCTGAAAAAGTAGCGGATGAGAAAAGGCTATTTAGCCTATCAAAGTTCACATCTCCAGTGCAGTGCTGGGAAGCAATGCTTTGCCAGAGTTGCTATCCTTTGGATGGACTTGAAACTGAGGTCCCCTCTGCCTGTTCAGATGGACTTTAAAAAACCCAATGGAAAATGATTTGAAGAGAGAGGGGAATTTCTCCCGGTATCCAGAGAGAGAGAAAATTAGTCATGTGCCACATGGCTGTTTGTGGGACATTGCTGTGTTTTCCAACTACAAATGTAGTGCCAACACTTTATAGTAAAACTCTGAAGCACTTGAGATTCTTCAATGTGATAAGGCGCTAGATCGAATACGAGGAGACTAGTGGAGTTTTAAAGTCAAATGTGTTGCCTATAAAAACAAATTGTGTTTTAAGAACAATGGAAAGAAAGAACATTTATTGGGACAGTAAATGTTAATCTTACTGGATCTATAGGGGAGATTGGGAAAACGTTCCAATTTGTTTGTACTTATATGTTCCATGTAGATAAAGAATGCGTGGCTACTTGTATCCAGAACATGCAGCAGTCAGATGACCTATTGCCCCTGGAGATTGTTGAGATGTTTGCAGGACTTTCCTGCTTTCTCAAGGACTCCAGCGACGTGTCGCAAGTGCTCTTGGATGATTTTAGGTGCTGTCAAGGTTACCAGTTCCTTTGTGATCTTCTGCTTAAGTAAGTACATGGATTTTGTTTGGATTCTTTTGTTTGCATTCAGTTGTATCTTTTTAGTAAGGCCTGTGCATTTGACTCACCGGTAAAGTCTTTGTACAGTTGCACAGGACAATTACTGTAGTCAGATATTCACTTAAACGTGTGGCATTGAGTTTGTAAAGATTATTATGTGCAGTAGTTGTGGGATAAACTAGAGGGAAGGATAAGATTTGAATTGTAATTGAACTCTGTGGGAGTATGTGTGCCATACTATGAGAAGGGCAATTACTGTAGTTAATTTCAACAATTTGGTTTGTAATTTGTGTTTTTCTTTCTTAGTGTTGACATGTTTAATGTATATTCCAATTAAAACCAGACAGGATTGTGGTGACTCGAGCCAAGTTGTAAAGCTAAAGGCTGAATGATAATCGTGTGTCCCAACATTACAGGACAGGCTCTCATTAGATCAGTTCAGATAAAATCAGATGTTGCTTACGGTCAAGTGCAGAACATTCCCCTGTTCCATACAATGTAATTTATCCATTGGAACAGTGCAAAAAAATTACCCCTATTTAAAAGCAATAGTGTGATCTAGTGGAAACCATGAATACTGCACCTTGTTTTGTGGAAGGCAATTGTTTGTCTTCCAACATCCATTACACTTCTACTCAACATTGATTCAGCAAGATCTCTGGAATGGACTGCACCTTAATTTTACCTATACATACTTTAATTAATTATTTTGAATACCATCACAAGGTGAATATCTTTCTGATCATGTACATTTTTTTATTTAGCTCCTTTTAATGACATTAAATTATTCTATGGAATGAAACACAGCTGTAAGGTTGCCATTTCTTTCCTCATAGCTGGCATAGTTGTGTTTTCACTAGATGTTTGAATCTCTTGTTTGTACAGACTTACCATATTCTTTCTAACTCCTAATTCATGAAGGAGTTTCATTTGGAGCCCCAGGAACTGCATTGGTTCATTCCCGTGTAGCAGATTTTTAAACACTAAATGAGTTATGACATGGATTAGAGAGATGGAGGTTTTTGCCCTACATGCCTAGCTCTGCTGAGTTCCTGATCTCTGATGCGATTGCAGAGAGGAAGCAATGGGCAAAGGCTCTTCTGTACAGGGGTGGTTAGGAAAAATCACAGTGAAAATCCTCTCTGCAGCAATACCGGAACACTGAGAGCCCTTTTCCTGCCCTGGATTCTCCAGAGTGCAAAAGGTGTGTAACTGAGGAAATGAAGGGATGAGGGAAGATGAAAGGGGGAGGTTGGGGTTGGTGTCATTTAACAAAGATTTTGTTCGTGGAAGCGCAGTGCTATTGTGTGATCCTTCACACACACAGAACTGATCTCAGCCCATTGCTATTATGGGAAGGTAACAAATATTGGAGAGGCGGTTGAAACTTACCCAGAGAAGGAATCAGCCTGTGCTTGTTGTGCACCTCTCTGTAATTGGTCACACAGAGGGATAGCAGGAGCCCTAGGCGGCTGGTTGCTCACACATACATGCTCCACGGAGTGTTCTTGAGACCAGAGAGGAGGAACCAAGAATGGCAATGATTTTGAACCAGACACTGTCATATACAATTATACCAAGAGACTCATTCAATTATTATATTCTTTTAAGCAAAATATACAATCACTGCTATATCTATATTCTTTACCACTTTCAACGTCTTGGGATTGCCTCCCGAAATGAAAGGCTCTATATAAATGCAATTTGTTGTTGTATGTAAACCATTGCAGAATTGTGGTGGGGGGTGGTGTGGTGGTGGTGGAAAGAATATCAACCACGTATACAGGGTGTTGCAATTTTGTTAACATTTCCATATGTGTATTTTAGGTTGGAGCTAATGAAGGAGCCTGATGCCAAAGAGGCACTGAAAGACTTGGTTCAGTTGGTGACCTCACTGACAACCTACGGGATAAATGAACTGAGACCTGCTGGTGTTACTAGTGGAGCACCTTTCCTGCTACCGGGATTTGTAGTACCACAACCTTGTGGCAAAGGTGATGCTACCAGTTGGTTATTGGCAATGCTTTAAAGGCCATACTCTTCGTTGGGAATCTTGGCAAACCTTGTCTTTGTTTGCTTATAAATGTGACACAACATAGCTTAAATCTTGGCAAATGTATTCTGTCCTTTGTATGATGTTAAGGTGATAAATGACGCGCAGCTTCTTTGGCTGCTCTATCTTTAAACTTAAAAGTTTGCCAAACAATTCGCTCATGAAGACGGACTTTAAATAGAGCATTTTTTCCCGTGAGGAAAACATTCGACTTAAACATGGGTTGTGTATGCCTTACAGTAAATATTCTTTGCAGATAATACGAAGAACCTGTTAGAATTTTCCTTTTAAGCCTAATTGTTAGCTCTACAGACTGTATAATATTATAATAATTATAATAATTATATAATAATAATTATTATAATAGATTATTATTATTATAAATGCCAACTGGTACACACTTCACTCTAAATCTAACATCAAAGGCAAATGAAAGACAAGAATGCATGTCTTCGGTACTTAAGTACATTAATAGAGTGAGGGACTTCAAAGCATTCATCTACAATGGAAGCATGAGTATGAAAAGACTTATTACCATACAAATATTGAAAATTATGAGATTTCGATAGAGTAGTCAAGACGCAGCAGTTTTTCCTGGACTGTTATTGCAGGAGAGTAAAGGAAGCGTGCAGCAGTTATGCAATTTTTAGAGTACTTTGGTAAATCAAGAGCACTTGGCAATTGAAGATAGATAACAGCGGATAAATTTTATTGATTTATTAAAAGGGTTGGAATAGAAGTGTCAATTTTAAAGTGTTATATAAAACCTAGTGGCCAATATTGGCAGAGGAATTTATGTGGCATTTCGGTTACCCTATCAAAGTTGACGGCAAATAAAACTTTGCAAGGAAATGTATTACTACTTAACTGTATGGTGAAAAGGTGTTAGCATCTAAATCTGTTTTTCCTTTAGTGTATCACAAAACAATTCAAATGTTTTCCTTGTTGAATAAACGTTAAGTGTTCGAAGTTACGTAAAATGTATTTTTGGAAAATCGTAACCAGTCATGTCATCTCTTTTCTTAAACCAGGACACACAATAAAAAACATCCAAGCCTTTTCTGTTCTTCAGACTGCCTTCTTAAAAGTAAGATCCAGCCATCTCGCTGGAATGATTTTGGATGCCATCTCAAACCTTTACATAGCAGACAATGCCAATTACTTTATCCTGGAGTCTCAGCACACTCTTTCACAATTTGCTGAGAAGATTTCCAAAGTACCAGAGGTGCAGTCCAAGTACTTTGAAATGCTGGAATTTATTATCTTCAGTTTGAACTATATCCCATGCAAAGAACTCATAAGCGTCAGCATCTCGTTGAAGGCCAGCACCTCTTACCAATGCAGCATCACTGCGATGAAAACACTTTTGAAATTTTCACGCCATGATCCTATCTTCAGGGATGTATTTCGGGAGGTCGGGTTGCTCGAGGTGATGGTGAACCTTTTGCACAAATATGCTGCTCTGTTAAAAGACCCCACTCAAAGCTTCAACGATTCAGGTAAGTTTATATCTTCCTTTTCTTTCACCGTTTTTTTTGTATGTAAACTGGAGACTATGAGATTTGTTATGTAAACACCAAGTACAGTATAGTAACAATATTTATTTGAGGAATTCCAACTAATCGGAATCTTGAAGTATTATTTTTCTGAGGAATTGAATTTGTTTTATAGTGGAATCAAAAGGGAATGTCTCAATGGACGATCGGAAGCAGTTGGCCTTGCTGGTGATGGAGACTTTGACAGTACTGCTGCAAGGATCAAACACAAATGCAGGTAAATTGGGGTACTGCTAATGAGTTGTAATGGTAACTAATAGTTACTGATAGTAATACAGAGAGAATGTCTTTGAAGGCCATTTGCTTTTTTTTTAGAAGAGAATAATACTTGGAAGCTTCAAATATGAAACGTGTAAGTTTGACCTTGTGCATTTTCAAAGGAATTCAGATTGTTTAAGCAAACTGTTGTGCAGCTTCATGCTCACAAATTATTCCATCATGTTAATACTCAGCTGACAGTAGTGACTTGGAGTGGCTAATGAATATCGAACTACTGTTTGCACAAGAACATTTTTACTCCACATTGGAGCAAAACCTTTAAATACTAAATTGTATCTGGAAGAATGTACATTTTTTTTGTTTGCCTAATAATCTCACAACTGTGTTGATCTGCAGCCTGCTGTACATTTGAGTGTATCTGCCTCCTTTGAAAAATGGACCTTTTCTGTCACTTACTTGTCTGTTGTGTACAATCAAGGGTTTGGCCAGAGTGCTATTAATTATGACCTTCAAAAATTTTCATCTAGACGTGATATGAACAAATGTTAGATTGAGTTTGTGTGGCCCATTTATTTCATGTGTCAAAAACCCTGTTCACCACAATAGTGCTAAGGTTTGGTAGTGTTCAGTGATACAAAATGGGAAATAAAGGGCAAAGGTTAACCTCCCCTAATCAATGTAAACAATATTTATACACTGCAACCTGTCAATCTCTCAAATTCTGTTCACTAATTTATTCACCACAGACGTTCAAGCATCCTTTCGATTTTTATCATAGTTGGTGTGATGAAACTGAAGTCGCTACGATCAATCCCCCGAGTTTATATTTGCTCATATTTTTACAAGCAACAGCCTTCATTTCATTTCAGAAATTTTAGAATGCTTTATCAAATTTTGTATCAAAAGTTGATCATAACTTGCAGAATATTTTGGGAAATATTTACAATATATTGCCTATTTTATTGGCTGTTGGAGAGGTGAAGGAATCACTGTTTATGTTCTATATTTTTTGTTTTGCTTCTCTATCCTTCTGAAGATACTACTTTATTCTGCACTGGGGTTCCCTAGAGCAAGCAGCCCAAGAAACTTCTTTATTTTAGACAGAGAGTGCCAATAACCTGTTCAACCATGTGGACCATCAGAGCTGAGCCTAATCCTATCCTTGCTTAACTTCCACCTTCACATCTATGATCCAAGTTTCCTTAGAAAATGTTAAGAAGAAAAAAAAATTCCAGATGATGCCTTTAATTAGCTGAGCAGATACTTATAAATTGAATGATCAGACTATCTTATTAAAATGTGCTCTTCTTATTAATAGTTTAATTTGCATTTAAACACAACTCTGTAAGAGAGCAGACAAAGAATTGCTTCCTATACATGACTGTACAGGAAATGTGACATGGATGTTGCACCCTATGTGCAGGAAAGAAATCGTCATTTCCTGAATGTTGCACTTGCGCAGGAAGCATTCGTAATTTGACTTTCTAAGGGAAGGATGTTTATGGCACTTAATGCACATAGCACACGAATGCAGTGTACAGGAAATGCAGGATAACTTCAGAGGTTGACCTTTTTTCACACTTCATTGGTAGCATGGCATCTAAGATATTGGACTCTGGCGACTGCATTATAATGGGGATGATTTGTGTATTTGTGGGGCTGTCATGAGCAAAAAAGCTGGTCCAAGGTTGTGTAAGATACATTTCTCATAATTCATAACAATCCACCTTGGATCCCATCACAGGGACCCATTACTTTTTATTGGAAGAAGCTGTACTATAAAGTTCATCAATAATTGGCTGTCGGTAGTACATATTTAGTACCACTTTTACAATTCCTATGCTTTGTTTAACACTAATGGAACTGTAGATTTTGAAAGCTAAAGTATTTCACACTCTTGAAATAAATTTGTGATTTAAAGAAAGTGCTGAATCCATGGACTCAACAATGAGCCCAATGTTTAATAATCACACTAGCAGGTTTTTAAATCCCTTGTCCCTTTATAAGATAAATAACCTGTCTGGTGTTAAAATTGTTAAAGTTGTTCTGTAATGTCAGTTTCCTTTATGGCAAATACTGCATTAAAATTATCTGCTACAATCAATTTGAATTAATACCCATCCCTCATTTTATTTCTTCCTGATCACTCACTTCTTTTAAGTATATCCAACAACTCCTCTACCATGCCCGTTACCAACCTACAATATATATTTTTAGGACTGACTTAAATAAACTGCAAATTGAGATTATCTCCAAAATTGAACAAACAGTCCTGCAAAACCGAGCAATATAAACTAGTGCTCACAAGACTTCAGCATTGGTTGAACTTATGGTATTTTCAGTATCGAAACTGCCTTGATTTCCTCGACAGGAGATTGTGGGATTCTTTTTATTGCACCTTAGTCAGAAAGATAGCTGTGACATACTGATTGACAGATACTCCAATTATCACGAATAGGTCAGCGGGTCCTTGCTTGGTCCCGCTGGTCTATCTACACTGTCTACTGATCTTTAGAGATTATCAAAATCCAACTAGTTGTGAAAACACCAGCATAATAATAATAATAATAATAATAATAATAATAATAATAATAATAATCCTTGCATTTGATATAGCGCCTCACATGAGAAAGACATCCCCAAAGTGCTTCAGAGGATTTACTGTGAAGTGTAGTGACTGTGTATTTTGTAGGTTTCAGCATCTTTGACCTGCTAAACAGAGAACTTTGAGTGCACCTTTTGCAAACTGAAAAAAAACACTTTGGTTTGATTTCATCAATAGCAATTGCATCTCTTCTGAGTGGCTGTATTTTGTGGGTGATTGCGGCAGCCAATTTGTGCACAGCAGGGTCCACACACACCCATGAAATGAACCACCAACTTTATTTGGGGGATTGGTGGCTTCTCTCCTCCAAACAAAAAAAGATTTAGTCAGCAATTTTTCATTGTGATCTACTCTGTAAAATGTAGCAGTTGAAACAGTCACATGGGCAATGTGTGACCTACACCTCAGACCAATTTAGAATCCGGTTTTGATCTATTTTGTGGATCCATTTTGTTTCTCTGCCATTCCTGCAAAAGCAGAGGGCCAGCAGGAGACCTGGCCACAGGGTCTGGCAATACCATGCTGTAATCAGTTAGGAGAACATGTGCAGAGGTAGTACTTGAAGTGGAACATGTAAAGCTTGTGAGAAATGTAGCACTTGGTTTGAAATGACTTGAGTCCAACTTTTCTTTTTGAATAAGGTGTTTTCCGGGAGTTTGGAGGAGCACGATGTGTACATAACATAGTGAAGTATCCACAGTGTCGAGAACATGCACTGATGATCATCCAGCAGCTGGTCCTGTCCCCCAGTGGCGATGACGATATGGGTACACTGCTTGGACTGATGCACTCAGCCCCGTCCACAGAACTGCAACTCAAAACAGATATTCTACGGGTAAGGGATAGAACTATTTATTTATTGTTTTCCACTACTTTTTCCTTTGAAACTCTTGACCCTCTCCCTTCCCACTCATTATTCACTGCCAGCATTCTTTCTTCAACGAAAAGGTGGGACATTCTGCCTACGAGCTCTCCGTGACCACCTCCGTGCATTTGATTGAATGTGAAGAAGTTCATTTCTGGGGGACATGACTCACTTTTGGTAGTTGTTTCTCTCCATTAATTGAGAAGCGATGCTGCATCTACCAACTTACTAACAATGGGCATGCCTTAGTATCATTGTAAGTTACTGCTGTTCAGATCTGAGACCCTCTTATCTTTACAGTCAGCACTGGGTTGCTAAAATTTGTCTTTCAATTAATTTTGAGTCAAAATAGCAAAATTTTGTGCAACCATTTAATGACCAGATTCCAGATTTGGGGGTCAGCTGGGTGTCTCCATACATGGAAACCCATCACCATCCAACCCAGACTGAGAGTTCCATACATGTCACCTAAACATGGAAGCTCCTGTATCTGAAATTAATTGTGCCCTCTCTCCCCAGTGGGATGCATCCTGCTTACTTAGTTCCGGAGAGTATTAGGCACAGGTTAGTCGAGGTTTGGGACCCTAGAGTGTACATTGGGGAGTCGCTGGGGTTAGCCAACTAAAACCACATAGTTTGTTATTGAAAGCACTGTCTGGCAAGCTTCCTGCTACTTGTTCAGCTAGCACCATCTTACCCTGCTTTGACTTACAGGGTTAATACAACCTAGTGATCGATCGTTCTGCCTCTCCAAAACCCAATAAAAAAGCGACACTTGCTGGTCTATTATCAGTAGTATCCTAGAGTACTGTGGATCCAACTGGCTCAGGAACCAGATGACCGAGACTACCACAGAGCAGATTTAATTCAGCCCCATCATAATAATAATAATCCTTGCATTTGATATAGTGTCATATCACATCTTCAAGATGTCCCAAAGCGCTGTTTATATTATATTATAGAGTGTATTTGTATAATATAACAATGTTACATACATGTAAAACATTTTTATTGTGTTAAAATGTAAATTGTCTCTGCAGGCTCTCCTAACTGTGTTAAGAGAAAGTCATCGCACACGAACTGTGTTCCGAAAAGTGGGAGGATTTGTATACGTCACATCCCTTTTGGTTGCCATGGAAGGATCTTTGATTTGTGTGCCCAGAGGGGTGTGGGAAAAGGTGAACACAAACCAAGTCTCTGAATTGGTGCACACAGTCATTTGCACGTTGACCGCAGCAATGCGTTATGAACCTGCCAATTCCCATTTCTTCAAGACTGAGATTCAGTATGAAAAACTTGCAGACGCTGTGCGTTTGCTTGGTTGCTTCTCAAATCTTCGACAAATTGGTCTGGCTTCTGAATGCCCCTCAAACGTCCAACCATTTCAGAGACTGCTTGAAGATGATGTGGCATTGTTAGAATCGGTCAATCCCACGCTGAAACACTGTAGTAAACTTTTTTGTTGCCTCTACAAAATGGCCACGGACTCTTTTGACAGGTAGGATACTGTACCCATTCAACTATTTTGATTTCAACTGTTTAACGTCTGAGTCAAAACTATTTTTATTACAGCAGATTGTTTAAGAGATATTGCATGATACTAGGGAGAACAAGTTTCAGGGCTATGGGGAAAGAGCGGGTGAGTAGGATTGATTTGGATAGCTCTTCCAAAGAACTAGCACAGACTCAATGGGCCGAATGGTCTCTTTCTGTGCAGTATGATTCTATGATTCAACGTAGTAATATAGTTAAGTCTCGTTATAGCTTTTATAGTAAACTAGTGACTTGATTATTTGTTTTAGTCCGGTGTAGCAATTTATTTAGTGGCAGAATGCTAATGTTTGCCAACCATTGGATATCACTGGAGTAGGATCTACTTTTCCTGAATGTTGCATTGCCTTAATTAATGGGGTCGAATTTGCAGCATTTGTAAATGATTTGAAAATACATTCAAATCCATCTTCAACAATTACCCAGGGAATTGGGCCAACGTGGTCTTTAATATAAGGGTAACCTCTGATTAAGGGTTTGTTGGTGTGAGAACTGACTGTCCAGGGCAGTTCCAGGGTGGTTGTTAACAAGGGGTAGCTGCTGAATAGAGGTGGTTGCTTGAACAGGTTTGACTGGTGAATTTTACATGTAACCAGATGTGACTCAATAGGACCTGGTTGCTACTCAGAGACCAGGTCTCTGTCACATGCTAGGAGCATCCATTCCCTGTCATCTGGTTTTACAGAAGTTGTCAATCAGATCGGAGTCTGGATCAGCTTGTGAATAGACTACCTACCCGCAAATTTTGAGATTATCAAAACCTTCACAAACCTGCAAATTAGACTTTATTAAATCATACATGCAACCTAAGCACATTTCAAAAACATTATGACTCCTTTATACATACACACAGATGCATACCATTGTTTTGTCCAGTGTGTGTATGTGTGTGACTTCTTTTAAAGACTTTAGTGGTTACTTGTTAAATTTCTACCACTTCCACTCCCAATTTTGGTGGATAACTATTGGCAGTTTAGTTTTCCTCCCAAAGTATTTTTCTCCAGTTTAATATTTCTTTTTCTTCCTTCCCCAGTAGACTAGCAATTTTGAACAGTTGAATGGTTTCCGGTTTAAATGCCCTCAACCAGTTGTGATAACAAATGGCTTGTGCATTAGGGGAGCTATTGGCTTTGGGAAAGGACTATTATCTGTAAAAATTCATTTTGCTGATTTGGGACAATAAACTTAATGTCCTTTCAATGGCTTTTTGAGCTGAGTGTAGAGTATTATATTGTGCTCTTAGGAGATCTCTGTTAAATAAAGCTTCTGTCAGCTAGAAGTCCTATACTTAAATTCTGATCGTACGTCTAGATCACAATATTATAATAATAATCTTGCAGTTGAAGTTGAAATTTATTGTTGCTGAAATGTTTGAAAGAACTTCACATAGATTGTTGTAAAGTGTAGTGACTGTGTATGTGTCAGCAAATTCAACAGTCAATTTAAACCCAGCAGTGTCCCACAAACAACCATGAAATGACTGAACAACTTACCATCAAGATTATTGGCAGGAGCGCCAATTTTCCCTTTTTTTGAATCGTGTCACGGAATTTTTAATTGTGTCATCCACTTGAACAGGAAAAGTGGACACTGATGTTGCTTCTAATCAAAGGACCACATCTCTGATGGTGTAGCTCTCTTAATATTGCACTGGAATGTCATCTTAGCCAGGGTGGTCCACCCCTCCTCCCTCCATTTCATCTGGCCCACCTGCTCCTTCCATAAGCCGTAGATGTTATGTTTCTGGAAGGGAAACGCAAAATTATTGCTAATGCGGCCCACGGACATTTCCGAAATAGGACATCTAGCCCTCAGCAGCCAAAAGGTTGGACCACCCTGGCTTAGACTATGAGATCAAAGTCCTGATGTGGGGCCACATAGTCCTTTTGACCCGGTGACAAGAATGTTACCAATTGACCCAAGCGACAGAACTGTGACCAGAATGAGAGGAAAAAGAGTTGAAACCTCGTCTTTGTGGCTTTAACTGTGAACTAGGGCACCGTAGTTGTACAGTGGCATTCATCAAGAAGATTACAAACCTTGGAACATATCGAGCTGCTTTGGTAGTGTCAAGATGAGAAATATCCCTCATTCCATCCTTTGTAGTATCTGCCATACGGATTCCTCTTTGAGGGGATTTCACTCAGCACCAATAGTCTGTTTCTACAGTGGCTTGGCATGTTAACTTGGCAGGAGACTAACCTCTCAGCTTTTCTTTTGTTAGTGCTTTGAGACATTTTGACACGATAAGGGCCTATATTAAATGCAAGGATTAGTATCTCATTCTTATTTTTATCCAAAGAAATATTTCATTTTAGAATGATTGAGGATTTTTAATCAAATTCTTTGGAATGAGAGATATCAGAGGTTTGTCCTTTATAATCAGAAACCATCAAATCAAGTTTACAAAACGTGGAAAATATGGAATGAGAAGGTTTATTTTTGTCCCAACAATTCTGTTCCCTTCACAAATCACACGATACCTGTCCAGTTGTTGGCTCTGCTTTGACCAATTTAATTTCCTGAGCGAAGTAATCAATCATAGGCAATGCTTCAAAAAATGTAAAGCTGTGTGATATTTCTCTCCAGGCATAAAAGACAGTTCTACAAAGCTCTTAAAATATCAATCTAATCATATAAGACAGATTATAATAATAATTTTCTTATTATTATTCACTTCTGACCACATCCACCCCATAGATGATTCATTACTAATCACAGTAGAGCAGTGGACATTGTATTTGGTGAAATATTTAGAGCATTGGGCTTAACCTTGTACTTGCAAAACGAAAGAAACTCCTGATTTTTGTTGTGCTTTACAATGCTGGAACCTCTCAAAGAGTATCATGGGTGACCATCGTCAATGCAGCACAAGCCGGTACTTAAATGGTTATTTATCTATTTATTTAGCATTTTTCAGAGCTCAGTTAATTCACATAATATCAATTGTTTTCATGCTTCGTACATCCACAGTTTGAGAAGGGGGAAGATAATTCTGGCCTTATTTTCAGCACAAGTCTTCTCGTCCTGCAATCACATTTTGTTAATTAGCCTATATCAATATTGCCTCCATCATTTTAAAGACTTAGATTCTCAATTATATTTTCCCCAATGAAAACCAGTTCAATTCTAAAAAAAAGCACTCTTCATTACATAGAGCTATTGTCCCTCTGACTCCCTCCCTCCCCTTTCACTTTGATGATGGGCACTTGTTTATTGTGTACACGTTTCCTTATCCAATGTGCAGTACCTTGTTATTCATAAAAACCCATGAGCCATTCTTAGCTAATCCACGTAATTAGAGACCACATCTTATGCTGGATGTGTTGTGTATAATTAAAAAACTTTTACTTGCTGCTATCTACAATATTGCCTTGCTATTCTTTTAATTCAGTAGGGCTTCCTTGCTTTATTGAATGACTGAAAGAAAAGGAAGCATTTTAGATTTAAGATTGAGCTTTGCGATGAGGTTTCCTGAATCGCATCTTTATTCCTTGCAGGGCCTGATAACCTTGAGGCTTGACTTACCGAAAATATGTGGAAAGAACAAGGCAATGGAATTAGAGCAGTTAGCTTGTAGAGGATGTATCGTCAGCATCGACTTGATGGGCTCATTGTCTTACTCCTTTGCTATAATTTCTATGATTCTCTCAATCTGTTTTTACTTTCTTCGTTAACCTTAGGCAAGTTTCCTTATCCACACACCTTTTTTTACCTAGCAATAAGTAGGAATCCGTTTTTTAGTTGATTGGCATCGCTTTCTGGGGGTAATAATTCCACCCCAAAAATAAATAATTGGTCACTCAATCCATGACTGTTAATGGAACACTGTTGTGTGCAATTGGCTGCTGCGTTTCACCCAGAAATACACAGTCAGTCCACTTTGCAATATATTCTGTGAGGCGCTTTGAGATATCTCAATGACTTGATAAGGCGCTATATCAAATGCAAAGATTATTATTATTAGTCGTTCCGTCCATTATGTTCCCTTGATGACCCAATTCTTCTCACCAGGTGTTTGCCTGGAAGTTGGTTAGTTTCTCAGCATCTTTTTGGATTTGCTAGATATAAAGGTGTGGTTTTATGATGGGTACCCTTTGAATTGACATGCGTTCTGGCTCTTTCCAAGTGTTCATTTATATTGTTGTCACAAGAGGAATTAAGCGTCCTGGGCACATTACAATATAGTCACTCATCACCTGATGCATTTAATGCTGTTTCTAACCCCTTCTGAAGATTCAGCACCCCAACTCTGCTCCCTGCTATGTGCAATCCTATTATTATCTTATTTTGCGGAACGTTTAGTCAGTTTTATAATTAGGGACGTAAAACGTAACCATACAGCAAAACAAAGGTGAAATCGCTCTGTAACCTACAGGGTTGTGAAGCATTAAGGAATGTAGATGAACAATCTCTTTAGAATGAAACTGACCCTCAACTGTGAAAGGTTATAGGAATTGTTGGGACAGAAAAAAATTGAAACTACAGCCCCAAGAAATAATGGTAGCAGAATGGTTTGCAGTGTAGAGAACATTATTTATTGTGAAAGTGGTTTGAGCCACAAAACTGTGTTTGTATTTACTTACACTTTGTAATTCAATGTACTGAAATGTTTTCAATGCATCACAACTTAAATGAAGTGTACTTATGAACTACATACTTGAAATTTTCTTGACATTATGGTGCAGGTAACATATGGTGCAGGTAACATACAACGCAGCCACTCAGTGGTTTGAGACTCAACTTATCTCCAATAATACCCGGGACTGTTAGCCATTTGAGATCACCAAGAACAACGTTGAATGCTTTTTTACTCCCTGGTGGCTATTCCTAAACTGCCAATGGTTCGTGGGGTTGGTATTAATTTAGAGTCAAATATGTTCATACATTGAGGTTTTGAAAGAATATGTGCGATATGTTCATACAGCAGATTATCACATGTTTACCAGGCAACTCCAGTGAAAGTGGTTCTATGGATATTCCTTTAGGAAAGCCTAAATTACTGTTGACGAATAGTACTTTATTATGTTGGGTGTTGTATTTATTTTGGCCTGTAATAAATACTATCCGACATTTATAGACAAAAAACCTTTCTCTCAGTTAATGCAGTTTGGCACTGTGATCTAAACTTGGCCTATTTATTTGATTTTACAAGAACAACAATGTTTAAAGTATTGGTAAACAAAAATAGTAAATACAGTTGTGCTCACCTAGTGGATTTATAAGGAAGGAGCTTCCCCTGTTGTTTTGTATGCTCACTTGTGATGTAGTGCTGCAAAAATACAAACAAGCTAAGTGTAGTAAAGCATTTTAAACTGAACTGGATATAAGGAAATTGAGGTTCTTGGAAACTATTATGGTGAAAGATGTAGTTCTTTTAATACTGAGCTATTTTAGCGTACTTGTAAAATCCATTCGAATATGTGAGGGCCTCTTATGTCCATGTATCATTTAAACTGTAAAATTCACAGTGAGTTCAGTTCATTTCTTCCCTTGTGTTTTTTCTACTTCCGTGTGTTTTCCGCTATGACAGCACTGGCATGATTCATGTTGCTGTTTGTGTTCCTTTGACTCAATCACTTAGAAGTCTTCAGTGGTAATTGTACTAACCAGCTTCTTGCTCACTTCTGTTCTCTAACATTCTTGTCCAATGGTGTTTGCTGTTTTTGTCTGTAGTTTTGCTGAACAGATTCCTCCTTGCCTGACGCATGAGACTTCCCTACCCTCTCCTTGGGGAACTCCAGCTCTGTCCAGGAAAAGGTATTGGCTCAGTAGGGGTACTTAATCCAATTCTTACAATACTGACGTGCCTCAAAATAGTAATATCATGAGCTACCTTATCTTGGTTTGTGGCGTTGTTTGGTTGCTGAGTCTCTGTTAAATGTCCTCGTCCCCCCGTTCCCATCCAATGGACAAACTTTTTCCAATGCTGTCCTCTTCTAGCTAGGTGGGCAAGGTAAAGCTGGATGGGCTGCAGGTTTTTTCCAGCTGTTATGTTTTAACCAATTGAGGAACATACCTAACATGAATGCACATGATTTTTGAATGAATATCATTGTCGGTCCTTTGAGTAGAGAATTGCCACTGGTAATATAATAAAAACTTTGTTTACCAATCTACAGAACAGGACTTTTGGAGGACAAGTGAGTTTGAATGTCTATTGAAGATATGTCTACCTTATCTTCTGTACTTAAGAGTCCAGAACAACCAATGCTGCCCTGTTCGAGAGAGACATTTTTATATAAAGGATCAGCTTGATAATCTGATTTCTGAATCGTTTGAGTTGCACTTTTCATAATGTTTAGGTTGCACCTGAACGATTTCATGAGAAAAGGTCAGGAGTATTGTACACTCTAGAATAATTGCTGAATAATTCATCAACACAATACTTCACAGGCATTTTGTGACATTTTTTGACCTTGTGAATTGTATTTAGAAATTATCTTTTATATTGGGACTCACATAATATCCATCATATTCAGAGTACAAAGTGCAAAAAAGTTATTGTGTTGTGCAAGTGAAATTCAGGTCTTGAGTGCAGCACAGATCATACTGTGTATTTCTGGAGTTTTGCATTCAGTGAATTCTGTGATGCCCAAATCTATACATCACTTATCACAGCTGCAGTGCTCCATAAATATGATAAAATTATGAAAACATTAACTTGGTATTAAGTTTGAATCAGGTTTTCCACTCGGGACTTGATATTTTATATGTAAGACATTCATTAAAATTCATGGTTGCACTGCACTTACATGAACATGTACCTCACAGCACCTTGTGCTTACGTTTAAGCTTCAGCTACATCATGCAGCTGATGCTACACTGGGGTTTGCTAGAATTTCCCAGACCTTGTGCAGGTAAAAGTACCATACCTGTTAAGAATTTTGCTTGCAGGATTTGATTGTCAGGAGCCCTGGTGAAAAGCATCCCACTAGTCTGTCTCCCCAAATCGTGCCCATGAGCTAGGCTGGCTGGCTGGCCCATTTTTAAATGTGCACATGAGTACTGAAGACCGGGTTTGGTTCAGGTATCAGACCACGAGACTGCCACAGAGGATCGACTGAACTCCTTGCCAGATTCTCACCTTGGAGCCAACTCATTCTCATAGAAATGCGTTTGCCTCATCCAAACCCCAATGCGTTAGTTACTAGTTGGTCACCAGATTTCTCACCTTTCGAATGCTTACACTTGAAACCTAAAGGAGTTGTAGCATTGATGTCATTCTTCATTTCAGAAGAAAACACAGCCAGCTGGAGGGTAAAGATCTGCATGGATTGTACATTTTATTTTATAAATAGAAAAAGAAGTTTTCTACATATATGATTGTAAATCGATATGCCCTATGTTAAGCTGTGAAGAACACTGCATTACATTCATTTTTCATCTGAATAAATGCTGTACTTTCAACCTGATGGACTGGAAGACCATTCTCTGGTTTTGATTGTTTGCGGTTGAAAATAAATTAGTGTGACATAAAGCAATAGAAAAGATGAAGCATACATTTGTGAGGATGTTAGCGGGGAAGTGGGGTTTCACTTTGGTTGAGAGATGTGAGAAGTTAGAACTGTTTTGATTTTAGCTGACCAAATCGAGATGCTCAAAATTAATAAAAGGTTCTTATTGGGTAAATAGTGATGGTCAATTTCTGCTGGTTGCCAAGTCACGAGCTAGTGAGCACATGCTTAAGATGAATGCGAAAAGAATTAAAGACAGGGTTCAGAAAAAGTTTATTTACTCAAAGGGTGGTCAAAATGTGGAATTCTCTGCTAAAAATAATTTTAAAAAATCCTTGCATTTGATATAGCGCCTTATCATGTCTTCGAGATGTCTCAAAGCTCTTCACAGAATATACTGTAAAGTGAACTGACTGTATATTTGTGGGTGAAACAATGCAGCCATTTGCTACAAACCATAGTTGAGGCAGAGTACATAAATTCTTGCAAAAGAAATAGAAGTTGATGGCATATAAATGTCCTTTATATGCGGAGTCCTGTAGCTCAGTGGTTAGAGCACTCGCTTTGCAAGCGAGAGACCTGAGTTCAATTCCAGGCAGAGGGCGAAACCTTGGGCAAGTTTCCTTACTCCACACAGAGCCTAATAATAATCCCTCCAAAACCCAAAACAATAATAAATTGGTCATTTTCAATCCACGATGTTTGTGGGACATTGCTGTGCGCAATTGGCTGCCGCGTTCGCTCACAAATATACAGTCAATTCACTTTACAGTGTGTTCTGTGAAGCGCTTTGGGACGTCCTCCCAACGTGAAAAGCGCTATATCAAATGCAAGGATTATTATTATTATATAGGATTGAAAATCCATATGCCCTATATTTGAAATGGTATTTTGGAATTAGGTAGATTCTTGAAGAATTTAAATGTTGAGAGAAGTATTGAAAGGGTATGAGGAGCAAATAGGAAAGTGGGGTAGACTGGCTCCAGTGCAGAAAAACACTAGTGCTGATTTTACATTGAATGATATTGCGGGGAAACAGGCCATTCAGCCCACCAAGTCATCCCATTTTTCTTCTATGCAGTAGCATTCTATGTTTCCAGGAAAATGGCATTCCATGTTCAGGTAGACAGGCAGGAGCTGTGTAGATACAAATTTGGCATCATTAATTATTGCTGGAAGATGTGCCAGGCAATCCGTTCATTACAAAATGGAGAGCAAATGTGTTAATTAATATTCTAGTTTTTGCATCTCAATTTGAAGCCTATGAATATTAATAAACCATAACCCAGTTAAAGGTTTTGAAGATGTTCTCTCAGAACTGGATGTCAGTGATGGTGTAAGATGAGGGTTGTAAAATATATAAGTTTTAAAGATGATATAAGTACATCAATAAGGACAATGAAACATTTTTGCATCTATTGCAAATACATTTCTGCTTCTTAATTGTGTAACATTATTGATGGCAATACTTAACAAGGACTGTTGTTGTCTGGAATTGTTGCCTCGCAAGGCAGATGGTGTTTCTGCTACTTGCTGCACACTCTGAAGAATTGAAAAGCACTTTATGCCATAGAGGTGTTTTTCGACTCTCTCTCTATTTATACTCTTCAAAAGTCACATTAAAGCAATTATGCTGAATGACCTCCATTTAAATCTTGAAGGGGGGCGGGGGGGATGCCTAAAAAGGAAGAAAATTGACGGGATTTCACATACATTCGTAGAAATAGAATTGATGAATTTCCTATTGTGTGGAATTGTAATACTGTATACTAAAATTATAGGTATAGTTTTTTTATGCCACTAAAATAGCTACAGATGCAGAATGATAAGTATCATTTTTGTTTGCATAGGCCAGTGTATCACACAGTTTCAGCACCTCCCGTGATTCCACCCAAAGTTGCTACGGACATGAAGCTGCACAATGCAGTGGCTTCTTTGCATTCTTCTGATCCAGTCATAATCCATCCGGGTGCTGTGCTTGCCATGTTGGACCTACTCGCCTCCGTCAAATCCAATGAACAGCTCAAGGTAAGCTTCGCTAAGTCCAGGGTTAATTTAAGAAAACCCCCTAGCAACAAGCGGAAATATCTGTTTCAGCATTGACCAGTTTAGTTGTCTTATATCGGTGTAAATGTGCTACTTAATGCTGAGGAAGGAGGAATAGGGAGTTTATTTAAAGAATGTGTTGGCCTGAGACCTCGCAACTAACATTGTCTCAAGCCCTATGGAATGTGTTTGATATCCCAGTTCCCTCAGAATGTGTGTTACTTTGTTTTTCTTTCCATTTTCAAAATAATTTTTGTCTGAATCTTATCGCACAGATGGTGGTGGGGGTGTAGGATGAGAAGTCTTGTCATTAACTTGCAGAGCAGAAGCAAGAGTTGTCCATAGTAACCTATGGATTTTTCACTTTTCTCCTGTCCTGTTCAGAAAACAATGCCTCGTACTGGTTAGGGGCTGACAAACCCCGCTCACCTTACCCAAATGGTTATTTGTATGATCCCAGGCAGTGAGGGTCACTGGGCTATTTAATCGTAAAGAGTAAAATAATGCAGAAGAAGCCCTTGCTGTTCTCAAGCATTTTTGCAGTTACTGGGTTAACGGAAAGGGATTGGGCCGAAAGGGACAGACAAGATGGCCAAATGGCTTTTTTCTGTGCTATAAATTTCTGTGGTTCTATGAATCTTTCCATATGTTAGACTGGGGACTTTGAGAGCAAATTGAACTCTTTGCCGGCAGAATTCAACTAAGTCAACACAGACGAAGATTCAACCTTAATTCTGATTGGATCAGCCAAGTTCCTGCACCATGTGAAGCATTTATCATGCGAATGTTCTTAATATATACTAAATTATCAGGAAATCTGCTATTCTCTTTCTGGTTCCAACTGGAACCAAACTTCACTGGAGCAGTTTTGATTTCTGGGCACTGGTAACTAGTATAACCAGCATAAAAGGCTCCTTTCTTTCTGCACTCAGTCATTTTCATCAGCAAAAATCTCCATCTCCACTGCGATCCATATTCCCAACTGATCAGTACTGAAGTAACATCATTTCTAGATCCTCTCTGCTGCCTCTGCAATCCACAAATTCTACTATTAAAAATTCAAATTAATACCAGCCAGCTAATGCATTTCTTCCTTCAGTAATATGATTTCTAATGCATCCTATGGGAATCTATTGGATGTATAGAATGTTTCAGTTATGGCTGACTTGCATGACATGCTTGACAACTCATCACTTGGACTGGCTGATTACCATATGTGGGTTTATTTCGCATACAGTGCAACTCTAATGGATTCAGGCTCAAAGCAAAATTCTTTGTGGGAAAGATGGGTTTATTAACTGGGTACTTCATTTTGTATTGACATCGAGCTGGCAATCTCACTGCACTAAACTGTCAAGAATTGCTTGTTTGAAAATTGCACTGTTAATAAACAGAAGAGATCAGTACTTCAGCAGAAAAGTTACCAAGTTTGCTACCAACTTGATTGTTTAGAATCATTTTATCCAGAGATTATTCAGAGATTCAAAGATGGAGTGTTCTGTGTTCTTAGGGCTTTGCCCAAATTGAAGCCTTGAATATCACACAAAAGGTGTGGCAGATTACTGTCGGGTGTGAACTTTCTTAAAGGTAAAGTGTCCTTTCTGAAGCCTATCCAATATGCATAGTGTGTGTGTATATATAATATGGAAGTTGTCTTCTGAATATTTATCCCCTGGTCCCACAATATACATTTCAGCCAGAAAAAAGAGCAATGGTTCATTGCTCTTGAACTAGGTGCAAAGTGACACAGTGCGTCAGATGGGGCCACCATCTATCTTCCCCCTCTTTTTTTTCTTCCGACCCCTCTAAAAATTTACACTGTGCAGTTTGCATGTAGCTTCACAATTTTTAAAAATATGTGTGCTTCTTTGAGTTTCGTCCTAGCAGTTCTAGTCAGTGCACCAACTAACAGTGCAGCTATCGTTGAAGCTGAATAGCCTTGTCAGTGTTGCACAGTATTTTGAAATCAGGATCCATATTTTCCAAATTTCTTTTCTGTTGGTTTTAAATTCTGGTCATCTTTCCACCTTGGAGAAAGTATGAGTGCAAGCTTTGCCCTGAGCAAACAATTTTCAGTTTAACGGTATAGTAATTGCAAGTCTACATTTGTGCTTTGATGCTTCGGGCCTCTTTTCACCAGAGATTTGGTTGAATTGTCTGTTTTTAGTTTCTTCATTTATTCAAAAAAATTTAGTCTTACAAACTATACTCAAGAGTTGGTGATTCTTTTGCAACCTGTGTTGCTGTCTTTTGCAGAGCATTCTGTGGATGACCAGCAAAATAAAACAGTGATATTTCTTGAATTATAAAGCATCACATCTCATATTCTGGAGTATATAATCCTTTACGTCAAACACTGACTTGTTTAATTGTGGGTTTCCCAGGTCATCGATTCACTACAAATGTTGGCATTGCAAATAGATTTCCTGTCCACTCAAAAATAGGCCTTTCAAAGTTATGGTCTAAAATTATTATCCCCCTCATTTTCCTCATTTCTTTTCTTGACATGCTGTAGCACAGTACCATTCTCTCTAGAAACCCTCTGGTACCTCATCCAATGAGAATGGGTTGGACTATGTCACTCGTATGAAGAGAGAACGCCATGGCTGACTTGATGAGCAAATGGGTGGTGCCTGTGCTATAACTTTCTATGATTTAAACTCTTGTTTATCAGGAGCATTTTTATATTCCTCATACGTTTTGATGTGCAGAATTGCTCTGATTTTAACATTAGTTCTAATCTCTGGCCTGAATACTTTTGGTCCTATTCCTACCCGTGTCCAGTGCTGTTTTGTCACATGTCACCTAAAATGGTGAGTGTCAGCTTGCTATATGACATTAGGAGATTACCAGCACTAAGGCTGATCCTTCCTGCAAAAGCTAATTAAAGCCCCAAATTAATGTAAGATAACTAGTACAGAAGAAGGTTAGATCCTTCTTGGTCTGCAAAGGGCTGAACTGTGAAATTACACTTCATAAGGATTTGATTTGGATGGTGTGTAACCTATGTTGTATTTGTCTCTTTTCTGTCTGTTTCAGCATGCATTAGATCTTCAGCTTGCAGTAGCTAATATCTTACAGTCACTTATTCACTCGGAAAGAAATCAGCAAGTAATGTGTGAAGCAGGGCTTCACGCACGGCTGCTTCAGAGGTGTAGTTCTGCTCTGGCTGATGAAGACCACCCTCTTCACCCACCACTCCAGAGGATGTTTGAGAGGTTGGCTTCCCAGTCACTGGAACCAATGGTCCTTAGGTAAGATACCTACTCAAACAGACGGCATTTGGGTCTTAATCCCAACTCTTTTAAATGCACCGAGATGCTATTCTGCAAGAAGGGCACTTTGTAAATGCAAGTTGTTGTTGTTCATGCTTGAAAAGTATTCGATTGAATTAAAGCATTTATGAAACACAACTATACACATAGAAATGCACATTGTTGTTGTAATCGTATTGTTTTGGCTTGCAGAACAATTTGCTGTCACTTTCACCTAGCAAGGATCGTGATGAATCCCTCAAACACTTTAACCCTTCTTAATCCATCTCTGGGTTTTTTCCTCATCCCAAAATAAAGCACCACACATAATCGTTTGTTTCAAAACATGTTACTGTGGAACCTCTCTAATAACGTCAGCAAACAGACTAAGAATTTGGACCACATTAGCAGGTTCACTTTACTAATGAGATTGTATAACTTACTATATAATGATGAAATGAATAAGATTGCAAAAAAAATTATATTAATGAATTAGCCACCTTAGTGGGGTGACCTTAAACTGAGTTTCCTCTGTACTTTTAATTGAGTTTGAATAAAGATTTATTTTATTTTGTCAATAATGCCCTTCAGCTGAGATGTTAAACTGAAGTCCTGTTTGCCTGTTCGGATGCATATTAAAGATTCCCGTAGCACTATTCAAAAAGAGAAGGGGTATTTCTCTAGGTGTCCTCTCCCAACAATCCCACAGATGAAATTAGACAATCACTTCATAGCTGTTTTTAAGGCATTGCTTTGCGCAAAACTGGCTAGTGGGTTTGCCTACAAAATACAGTCATTACATTTTACAGTAAATCCCATGAAGCATTTTGAGATGTCCCCCCAATGTGAAAGGTATTATCTCAAATGCAAGGATTATTATTACGGGGGTTTGTGCCCATCTTATGACTCTTACCAAAATTATAATAATAAATAATTCTTGCATGTGATAAAGCAAACGTCAGTGTCTCAAGGTGCTTCATAGGTGATTACTGTCAAATGTAAGGACTATTTTGTAGGCAAATATTGTCCCTATTGGATGAATCCTGGGTGTGGATTTTCATTCAGGAATTAGCCACATGTCTAAGATGTCACATGCCAAAAACTTAATTAAAAGTGTCAAGGACGCATCAATCACATAGGCTGCTGTAGAACTCATGCCTCAGTTCACCTGTTCTCTTCCTGCTGATGTGGCTGCTTTAGGCTTTTCAGGCCCTTCGGTTCTCATTAATCACTGAACCGCAATTCCTGGGAGATAAGGGAGGAAGGCAACCACGCATAAGAAATCACCTGAAAGAAGAAGCTCAGGAATCAGCTGCAGTATAACATTCAAAGCAAACACTAGAGAGTCACTGTGTTCCCATTTTAATGATTCAAAAGTGCTTGAATCTGAAGAGGGGGAATAATCAGCTAAGATTTCCACAGTGACAGCTGATGGATAAGCAGCAAATTAAGTCACCAATAGAACTCAGAGGAACTGGGGGCAAGAATTCTTCCCACTCAGCTTCTGTTAACCCTGCAGGCAAAAATCCTAACGAATAGGGCGATCCAAGCTAGACAAGCAGCTGAACAGTTGCCAGACAGCACTTTCAGACAGATAAACTGTAGCAGTAATCCATCGCACACTCTGAGGTCCCCAAGCCTTGGCTGTCACAAATAATAATAATAATAATAATAATCCTTGCATTTGATATAGCGCTTTTCACGTCGGGAGGACGTCCCACAGCGCTTCACAGAACACACTGTAAAGTGAATTGACTGTATATTTGTGGGCGAACGCGGCAGCCAATTGCGCACAGCAATGTCCCACAAACAGTCGTAGATTGAAAATGACCAATTTATTATTGTTTTCGGTTTTGTGGGGATTATTATTAGGTGTGTGGAGTGAGGAAACTTGCCCAAGGTTTCGCCCTGCCTGGAATTGAACTCAGGTCTCTCGCTTGCAAAGCGAGTGCTCTAACCACTGAGCTACAGGACTCAAACCTGTGCCCCTCCAGGGAGAGAGTGCATATTCCAGACCCTGGGAAATATACATACATAGGTGGTATACATATGTGACCTCTGTCTGGTTTGGATACTTTTAAGTATGGTGGTAGTGGATTTCTACATGTGCCAGACACTGGCTGACCAAAAGTATTTCTCCCCAAACTCATCTACGATTTTGTGCATTGATCCAAAAGATACCTCACATTTTTAATTTTACACTGCAGCCTTCTTTGTCCTGGAGGACATGGATCCTATTATCAGTAAAGCTATGACTTGAAAGGAAATGCATATTTTTAGATTTAGCATTCCAGTCAGTTAGTGCCCTATTTCAGACACACGCGCTGACATTAATATTTTTTTATTTCAATTCTATGCCCTCATTAAATGAAGTCATATTGTTTTAGAAACACTAACATTACATTTTATAAGATTAGCATATGGCCTGGATTTGGGTTTGTCTCACTTTGACAGTCACAAAATCATATAAACAAAATACAAATGTCCATACGACATTCTACTGCAGATATTGTGCAGCAGCTTTACTATCAGATAGCCGATCAGATAACTCAATTGTTTTCAAAAAGAAACACAATTCTTCATCTTCACGTTGTAGCCCAGATCTTACTGTTGGTCATTTCGAGTGACGTGTTTGATTGTGGTTTGCGCACTAATAATAATAATAATCATTGCATTTGATATAGCGCATTTCACATTCACGTATCACTGTAAAGTGTGCTGATTATGCTATTTGCAGGCGAACTGTACTCTAAACAATTGGATAAAATATAATTCCTCTCCTCCCAACACTACTCTGAGTTAATATTTTGGAGTGTCATGGATTATAAACAGACTGCAATACTATTGACTGAATTCCATTTTACCTTCGCTGTGTGAAAATGTTCTCTGCTTATTAAATATTCATGTTATGGAGGAAGTCTTGGCGATTCTGTTCTGTTGTGGAATATGATCGAAGAGATTCCATATTGTGTAATATACATGATATTCCATATCATGTATATTACACTGGCCATTTAAACCTTGTTTTAAGTTGCAACATTCACTTGCTAGTTTTTGCATGAATTATTATAATTTAATTGTGTATGAACCCCTTTAAGAAATGTATAGTAGTCCTTTGGTATTTAAATCTAGCACTAAGAATGTAGGCATCTGCAGGGAATTAGTGCTTGTTAGTTCACTGATCAAATCACTCAATTTTAAATACAGTAGCTAGCTGTTAATTAAGCTTCAAGTTTTGACGTTGACTTGAGGAATGTCAAAAGATTTGTGTCTGTGCCAATGTTTAACTTCAAAGTATTTAACTGTTTGTTTCAAAGATAGTCATCCTGGAAAGCTTTTCAGAATTAAAAATTCTTTCAGACTTTTTACCTTGTCTTCCTTTGGGGAAAAGGAAAAAGATTAACAGGGGTCTATCTGGTTGAGCTGGCTTCATGGTGACCTGGGTATTGAAGGCAGAGCTGAATGAAGCACTCTGTAGTGCTCTTGAACCAATACCTCAGCTATACAGATCTGCAATACTCCAGGGCACTGTTGACTATTGACCTGCCTTGCTTATTAATAAGATTTTGTGGAGTAGACCTATCATTGGGGGAAGATTCACTTCCCACTTGGGATCTGTGTCTGAGCCAGGTTGGTCCACAGTACTCCAGGGCTCATTGGTGGGGCTTGGAGAGGCACCTGGGAGAGGATTTCTTTCTACTCAGTTCCTTTAAACCCTGCAAACCAAAACCTTAATGAGCAAAGTGTCCTAGGTGGCCAAGAAACAGGAAGTTTGCCAGACAGTACTTTTAATGGCTTTCTACGTGGTTTTAGTTGATTAAACCCCAGCAGTATCCCAAAAAACATTCTTAGATCTTCAACCCTTGGCTCTTGCCAGCCAATGCTTAATACTCTCTGGAATTAGGGAAGCAGGATGTTTCCCTCCAGGAAGAGCCAATACATGGGAATTTCCAAATATAATGGGTTGCAGGGAACTCTGATTTAGATACTCGTGGGTTTCTGCATGTGACAGAACAATTGACCGATCAAAAAAAAAAACTTGTCTCTTAATAAACCTAAAAGCCATTGTTCTTGTAGATGGAGTTTGGAATAAGTTGGATCATTTTAGACGGTTCATTTCCAGCAGGGCTCCAACTTGTGTTTTGGTGTTCCTAAAGTCTTGGCTTCTGCCAACCACAGTATCTTTCAGGGGAAGAGATTGCAAACTCCCATCAACCTGTAAACATGAAACCACTCTTGGTAAGCTGCTGGAGCTGGAAACTCTTAAATATGGCAAAGGGTTTCCGTTACCACACCCAGCGACCTGAAAAGTTACCACCTCTACATAAGTGAAATATGTGGGCTTTTATGTGTGAGGGACATTGCTTTGAAACTGCATGTGATACCGCAGTGTGGGTTGCGGTTTTTACTTGTGTTTCCATCTACCCAGTTTCTGACCACATTAATTAGAAATTGATTGGTGGGCAGGTGCTTCCTCTAAGTGTCAAGGCCTTCCGTGCACCTCCCCAACAACCAGCTGAGAATCATTTGAGGAGGATGGTGGCGAGTTACCCCCTTCTTTGCTATAGTTGGTATGTGGTCTGGGGAGAACTGAGGTCTGTGTGCTTTTGAAAAAAGCAATCATAGTCTTTCCCACTTTAGGTTGTGAAAATAATAGATTTTGGGGGCGAAGAGTTGGGATTATTGTTGGTAAACTTAAACGAAAGATTTTTTTCCCCGCCCCCCCCCCCCCCATGGTTAACAGAGCGTGAGCTCAAAGTTCTTCATTTAACATACCAAAGATATTGAAATCTACAAAATACACAGTCACAACACCTGACAGTAAATCCTGTGAAATGCTATGATGCTTTTCTGATGTGAAAGGTCCTATATCAAATGCAAGGATTATTATTATTATTTTAGCATTTCATTTACTCAATACTGATTTTTTATTTACTTATGTTGATTTTTATCAGGGAGTTTCTCCGTCTTGGTAACCCACTGAATTGTGGAGCCTGGGATAAAAAGTTGATCAACGTGTACAGGGTCCACAAACCAAGCTCTTTAAGTTGTGAAACAGATATAAGAGGTAAGCTGCAAAATATTTATTTATAAATTGTAAAATCTCTTTCTGTTGCTTGAGATTCAGATTTGAGTTTCCCAGCTTAAACAAACATTTTGCTCTTTAAAGCAAATTTGTAATTTAAATATTGGTTGAATGAAACAGTATATTTGCAAAGATTAGTTCTGAAAATTGGATGTACTGTATAAACATTTCAAGTGCACCTCATATTTTTTAATGAACAGGAGGGAGGGATTTGGACAGACACATTTCTCTTGCGTTTCAGTATAGTAACTTTGAAACACACACTGTCAAGAAGAATTTCATCCTCCATATTCTTTTCTATCACAAGAAGAATATCATCCTCCATATTCCTTTCTACTAATGACTGAATGGGGACAGATGTGATACAGGTGTGCCTAAAACAAATGTTCATTTTATGGCATTTGTATAAATAGTATAGGAATATTTGCTCTTTTTGACTGATGTTGTGAAGATAATGTTCTTGACATTCATAAAATAAAGTATACTGTATTCAGTTATTTCCTGAAATGCTTGATCATTTTTCCTTATCTGAAACTTAACCTGAATTTTTTTAATAAATGTAGGGTGTTGAATTATTTTTCTAATGCCTACCCCACATATGCATCTCTGCTCCTAGTCTGACTTCCTCTCGCTGGGGTGGAGTTCCGTGAGTACTGGTTACCCTCTAGTACTCACCTAAGTAGTCATTATTCACATGTGAGCCTTGACAGTGAGTGTCTGTAGGCCACATGAATGTGGAGGTCGTCGCAGAGGAGCTTGACCTTGCCCACCCGGCTGCCACACGCTACCAATAGAGGGTGCTTAGAAAGAGCAGGAATCTTAACCCTGGGATCGTTGGAGTCGATGTAACCTCCCATGCAAACCCACCTGAGACCAGCAAACTCATCACACACCAGGATTTGAATCATTGAGCTCCAGGATCCATACCTGTCCACTACACCATCAGGGCTGGGGCCTTAACGTGAATTTCAATAGGTGTTTGCTGATAAACCTCTTTCGTTGTTGCCCTTTTAGCTCCCTATCTTTTCTAAGACTGTACTATTGTACCTGCTTTGGGATCACAGGTAGCCTGATGATGTCTTTGGATGGATTCGATCCTGAAAATGTTTTCAGCGGGAATGAAGATAACAGTCACTACAGGATCAGCAAAAGCCTGCTCAAAGGGGCGGAAGGAAGCACAGTGCCTCTGACTCGGGTGAAGTGCTTAGTCTCCATGACAACACCACATGACATTAGACTTCACGGATCATCAGTTACTCCAGCATTTGTGGAGTTTGATACTTCTCTGGAAGGCTTTGGGTAAGGTATTTTTTTCCCCCATGCAAGCAGTAGTTTATGTAAACAAATGGCCATTCATGATATTTCTATCCACTGGCTGGGTTGGACATTGCAAATTATTCTTCCTTGTTGGTAGATTTAGTGAGTATTGTAAGATATTGAATATTGATTATCTTATAATATATTCAAGAACCAAGGTTGGTCAACTTGCAACACCATATACTATCTGCCAAGGGAGTACATTTAGCAAAGCAAGAATAACCAGTAATGTTCACCTGAATCTAAACTAAGGGGAGGAGAGGCATTCAACCAGTGTATTCTTTATCTGATGTCCAAATTATGAGTAAAAGCGGTTCATTCTTTGTAGCCACTGCAAAAGAAAAAACCGGCATCTTTTTTAGCGAGTAAGCATTGCGGACGCATTTATTCAGACCACAGAAATAGATGATTCAAGAATTCATTAACAACCATCAAGATTAATAGTCAAACACTGCTCCTCAGCCTCGAATAAAGGCTTTTGTGTTGTTCGGAAACTTTTTAGAATAAAAAAAACATTATGGATACATTTTAATCACTCTTTGTAAACGCTTGATAATAGTGGTAATTAAGAGTTGTTAATTTGGGAACGGAATGAATTTTGGAACATAATAATTTTCACCTTGACGTATCTGTTACCACTGTTGGGCTCAACTTGTGTGTTGAATTTATCTGAGTCATGCGTAAGGTTGAGTTGAAGTGACTGGTTCTGGAGAAGGTTCAGAATGTGGTTCTCGTTGTTTCTCCAGGCTGCTCGTGCCTTAAGTGTTCTGCTTTTTCCTGACAGCTGCCTGTTTTTGCCGAGCTTGGCTCCCCACAACGCACCTGTTAATGCCGCTGCCGTGACGGGAGGACTTAATGATGGAGCTGTTACCAGTGGATTCGGCGCAGGTTAGAAAGTGATGCTGTCACACAAACCAGCTCACTGTGGGCAAAGTGTCGTGATTGGTTACCTTTAACAACAACCACAACAAAATTCCATTTATAGAGCGCCTTTCACGTCGGAAGGACGTCCCAAGGCGCTGGACAGTTGGGTCAGGACCCGAGCAGGGGGGAAATGGTCAGGGTGAGGGGAGGGAAGGGAGGGAGCGAGGAGGGGGTAGAGAGTCGAGAGGGGAGCTGAAGGCACGGTCAAAGAGAAGGGTCTTGAGACCGGCCTTGAAGAAGGAAAGGGAGGAGGCGGCGAAGGCACTGGGGGATAGAGTTCCAGAGCCTAGGGGCTGAGAGGCTGAAGGCCCGGCCACCGATGGTAGGGCGGTTGGGGCGGGGGATGTGGAGCAGACCGGAGCCAGAGGAACGGAGGGTACGGGCAGGTAAGTAGGGGGATAGTAGGTCAGAGAGGTAGGAGGGAGCAAGGCCGTGAATGGCCTTGTAGGTGAGGATGAGGATCTTGAATTCGATCCTCTGGGGGATGGGGAGCCAGTGGAGGCGAGCGAGGGTGGGAGTGATGTGGTCCCGAAGCCTGGTGCGGGACAGTACACGAGCTGCAGAGTTCTGAATGACCTGCAGCTTGTGGAGGGAGGTGCCGGGAAGGCCGGCGAGGAGAGAGTTCCCATAGTCCAGCCTTGAGGTGACAAAGGCGTGGACCAGAGTTTCAGCAGCGTGAGGGGTGAGGTAGTGCCGTAGTCTGGCGATGTTTCGGAGGTGATGGAAGGCGGTGCCAGTTGTGGTGCGGATATGAGGAAGAAAGGACAGCTCAGGGTCGAACAGAACCCGAGGTTCCTGACTGGCTTTGAGAGGTGGAGAGTGCAGCCTTGGATGCTGATGCTGTCAGCGCCTGAGGTGCGGAGGCGCTGACGTGAGCCAATCAGGAGGGCCTCAGTTTTTCGCACGTTGAGCTGAAGAAAGTTGTCTCTCGTCCAGGACTCGATGTCGGACAGGCAGGCTGTCAGGACATCGGTGGTCGTGGAGTTGAGAGTAGAGGAGGAAAGGTAGAGTTGGGTGTCATCCGCATACATGTGGAAGTTAACCCATGTCTGCGGATGATGTCACCAAGGGGGAGCATATAGAGGGTGAAGAGGAGGGGACCGAGGACAGAGCCCTGAGGGACACCGCACGAGACAGTGCGGGGGCTGGAGGAAAAGCCGTTCGTGGAAACAAAGTGAAGACGGTGGGAGAGGTACGACCTAAACCACTCAAGGACAGGGCCTTGAAGGTTGAGGTGGGAGGACAAGCGGTGGAGGAGGATAGCGTGGTCGACCGTATCGAATGCTGCCGATAGGTCGAGGAGGACGAGGAGGCAGAGGGAGCCCTGGTCGCAGATGGTCAGGATGTCATTGGTGACCTTGACCAGGGCAGTTTCTGTGCTATGGGCAGCACGGAAACCCGACTGAAGGGGTTTGAATAATGAATGGGTGGAGAGGAAAGAGCGCAGCTGGGAGGCGACAACTCGTTCCAGGACCTTGGACAGGAAGGGGAGGTTGGAGATGGGCCGGTAGCTTGATAGCTGCGACGCATCAAGGGAGGGTTTTTTCAAGGTGGGAGTGATGGTGGCAGTTTTTAAGGGAATGAGAACAGAGCCAAAGGAGAGGGACAGGTTGACGATGTCTGTGATATGTGGGGCAAGGAGGTGGAGCTGGGAGATAAGGAGTGGGGATGGGGTCAAAGGAGCAGGTGGTGGGTTTCAGGGGTAGGATGAGTTTGGTGACAGAGGGTGGGGAAACGGGTACGAAAGTGTGTAGGGGAGGATGGGTAGGAGTCGGAGTGTGGGAGGGAAGGGGTGGGTGGAGGTTGGAGGGGAAGTGACCGCGAAGCGGATTCCCTGGATTTTGGATTCAAGGAAATCCAGCATCTCCTCACAGTGAAGGTTGGAGGAGATGACCTGCGCGGGGTGGCGGGGGGGATGGAGGAGTCGGAATATGGTAGAAAACAGCCTGGGGTTGTTCTTCGCCTCCAGGATTATCCTGGAGTAGAAGGACGACTTGGCCGAGGCTAGACGGTTGACGGTATAAATGCATTTTAGTATCTCCTCTGTGAGAGATCTGTTTGTCAGTGCTTAATGGCCCTGCAAGCAAAATATTAAATGATTTGTGCCAAATCAGGCAGCATTTATAATTGGAGGCAAGGAAAAATAATTCCCCGTGCCGAGTGTAAGCGCATTAATTGTGCTGAAAATCGTCAGGTTTGACCAAGTTTCAAAATTTTAGTTTCATGCATTCAGCAAAATGTTAATCCTGGCACCTACTATAAGTCTTCCATTTAATACTTTAATTAAATGTTGTTTTTGATCAATTAAAGTCTAAAATCAATCTCTTGACAGTATGTTGCAGTGACACATCTGGTAAAGTGAAGGATGTATAACATGGTTTGCTGTAATTGTGCATTTTTATCACAGCCACCAGAAATCCCCAGTAGACTATGGTCCTTAACAGGATTGCCGAGCATGTTCAAAGAAATTGTGTTCTTAAGCAACATGTTCTAATGCTCCCAGTTCAGATACTTGGCACCATCTTCAGGGCGATTGATTTTTAAAATATCTATTTATGGCTTTGTAGTTTCTATCTCTCTGGAGAGATAGGTGGTGGAGCACTGTCGCATTTGGCTGCTCAAAACAAAGTTCCAGTGCAATGGATTCACAGTTCTGCCCATCACTCCTGGGTGGAATGGAGCCAATTTCCTTTGGCCTTCATCACCATGGACTTTTGTTTTCCAGCCTTGGATGAAGCCCATCAAACATAACTTCTCCACTTGTTCGAAGGACCATTTGTTGTCTGTTCTACATCCTTTTGATCTGTCTGACATTTCCCCCGCTGATTTTATCCAGATTCCCTCCCTAATGCCTGATTATACTAGTGGCAATGAGAAGAGCCTCTGTAGCTAATTTGTGCTTCAGACATGGCACAAATCATGAAGTATCCTTTATTAGTATTCAATATATACAGTGAGGACACTGCAAAGTGCAAACAAGTCTTCACTGAAACTATTAGAAATGTTAGGAGTACTGTAATTCTTAAATTCAATCAGTGGCTGCTTATCATTAAAAGATGTGTATTCAGCAGGATAGCAAGTTTAAAACTGAAATGGCATAAATAAGACTTGCACCATATGAATAGCATCAAAGTATTAAAAGATCATTTCTGGCATATTATTTTAAATATTTATATGTATTTACAATACAAGTGCAAAATTACAATAGAATATGTAGAGTTCTTGGAAAATGCCTTATTTGTTTAAATAAATCCTTTTTTCCAGGCGAACGATTCTTTCCACCTCCTTCCGGGCTGACATACTCAACCTGGTTTTGTATTGAGCGGTTCACCACGTCTTCAAGCAATCACCCGGTTAGACTTCTTACCCTCGTGCGGAGGTCAAACTCTTCTGAGCATCACTATATTTGCCTCGCCATAGTCCTTTCTGGGAAAGACAAAGCCCTCCTGGTTTCTACCAAGGAAGAGCTGCTGCAGACCTACGGTGAGTAGATATCTAAATGCATTTTGAATGTTTGCGTGTTTCCATCTTCTGGAAGTAGCAGAGCAAGAATGCAAGGGTTTAAAAAAAATACATATTAATGTTATTCTATAAAAAATGAAAAGCATGTTCTTGCCGAACTTGGCTCAGGCAAGAACATGCGTGGTGTTGAAAATTTGTGTAGAATATAAAACTGCAAATTTCCAGTTAGCTAAAACTGCAACAACAATGCAATTATATAGCACCTTTCGCCACGGAAAGAAGTCCCAAGGTGCTGGATATTGAAGGTTTGCACCTGAGATGAGGGGTTGGATTCAGAAGAGGTGGGGGTGGAAAGATGACTGAGGGTAGGGTCAAAGAGGAGGGTCTTGAGACGGACCTTGAAGGAAGCTAGGGAAGTGGTGAGACAAATGAACTCCAGGATGAAGTTTCAAACAGTGGGGCAGATAGGCTGAAAGTCTGACAGCCAATGGTGGGGCGGGCAAGGAATGTGAAGCAGGCCAGTGCCTGCCAAGCAGAGGGTTGGTAAGGTTTGAGGAGGCCGCAGAGGTAAGGTAGGGCAAGACTGTGAAGGGATTTAAGTCAGAACGAGGATATTGAATTCGATCCTCTGGGGAATGGGGAGCCAGTGGAGCTGGCTGAGGATGGGACGAGAGGCAGATGAACATAAGGTATCAAAATAAGATGTCTTTAGTCCTTCTTCAATACTTCAATATCCCTTTCTTACTTCAAATGTTGCTGAAATCCTCATTCATGTTTTCGTTAGCTCCCTCTTTGATTTTTTCCAATACACTCCTCACCAGTCTCCCAGGCTCCACTATGAACCAAGGTCCAACTGATTCAACACTCTGCCACCCTTGTCCTCACCTGTACCAAGCTCCGTAACCCCATCACCCCAGTTCTTGCCAGGCTCCACTGATTTCCTGTTGCAGAACAGATCATTTTCAAGATCCTCACTCTCACTTTGAAATCACTTCATGCCCTGGTGCTTCCCTACCTCTCCAATTTGCTCACGCTCCACTACACAATGCCTTCGCTCGGTTGACTCAGGCCTTCTGCGTTTCCCTTGTTCCCTCTGCTCCACCCCTGGTGTCTGTGCTTTCAGGCATCATGAATATAGGAGCCTGTGTAGCATGCTGTTTATTTAGTTTTTGCAGAGTGCTGTTGTTGAGTGACACTGTCACAGTATGACCTGCTGAGTGATGAGTCTCTAAAACTCTGAATTGTTTCTATCTATTTTTAGTTGATGATTTCAGTGAGGAGTCCTCTTTCTATGAGATTCTCCCTTGCTGTGCACGATTCCGGTGTACTGATCTGATTAATGAGGGACAGTGGCATCATTTGGTGCTTGTGATGAGCAAAGGCATGCTGAAGAACAGCACTGCTACATTGTACGTGGATGGTCAGCATGTTAACACAGTCAAGGTATGTTTTCCTGATTGAGTGCATTACTGTCATTTGACTCGAACCTGTAGCAGTTTAAAAGCAAAAATAGCACTTTTACCAAAACTCTTTTAAGCAACATATTTCAAAATCTCTTTATATTCCTTTGGTACTTTGGGTCAACCTTATGGTGTCCTTTTTTGGGAAAAAAATGTGTCGACATTACTAGATTAGTGATCCTGTACCCAAGATAACTAATTAAAATGATTAATCACCACAGCATCAGTTGGCTCTTTATATCGTTCAAGGATTGCAATCCGAGGTTCCCCATCAAGGTTTTTTTTGTGTAATGATTATTCATAGTTTTATCTTCATATTCACCCAGCGGGAGATCTTTTGTTCCTGTCGAGATATTAATTTCCGTCAGCTAATCAAAAGTGATTGAAGTGATTGGGTGGCCAGCTATGTCAATTCCCAGAAGATCCCATGTGTTTAGAATCTAATTTAAATGTGACAGAGCGCCCTCTCCCACACGATCAACTAATGACTCTAGTATCTGAATGGGCACATCCAGCTGTGGCCCCTTGGCATATGATGGCACTGCAAACTGGACAAGGCTGAAGTTATGAAATCGGAACAACAGAAAAATCCTTGGCTTTATTTAAAATTAGACTTTATTTAAAATTATTTCATATGCCTCGAGACTGAAGACATCAAACATTTTGGATTGAAACACTATATCTCAGCTAATTAAAAGTCAGGTAGGTGTTCTGCAAATCGTTTTATTTATTGAATTGACCAACTATTATTTAACTGGATTTCCTTGCCAGCTTTACTCCTAATAATCGTGTAGGATTTTTTTTCACAAGCTTTTACATTCTGCTAATGAAACCTGGCAGTTTCATTGAAAATGTAATCTTTCTAGTTTTTGCCAAAGCGGGACAATCAGTTTAATACAGTGTTTGAATCAGGGCAGCGTTAGAACACCTAAAACCTTATGTAAACAGAACTTGAATTTAACTGTTGAGGTCAACAAAACAAAGCTAAAACTGTGAAAAGTATTCTTTTGGTCTTTACATTTCTATTAGGTTTCAAAATATATAGCAGGAGAAATTGGCAGAAGAACATGTAAGTTTTTTTTTAAAAAAACTAAAGATTTTAGTAATTAGAATTGATCAGCGTAGAATGTCAATCAACCTAATACAAAGAAATGTTCTTATTGTAGCAATATTGTGGGTAATTCATATATGGATTACCCAGCTAACATCTTCCAGATGCACCATTCCATTTTACAAACTATCTTAGTCCCTGCATAAGGCAAAATTGGAGATTTAAATGCTGATTGACATGAAGCAATCTTTTTTAATTATAAAAAAGTTATAAACTACCTACTTTAGATAAATTGTGGTTACGTTATTATTAAAAATTTAAAAGCAAAGTGCATTGAAAATCTGGAATTGAACATTTCACCTCAACTGAAATATTGCTATTGTCTAGTAAATTATAATTTAGCTCTGATCTTTACAGAATCCTGTGCCACACTTGAATTGTGTGCACACTATTTAATTCACTCTATGGATTTCCTTTGTCTGCAGAATTAAAATCTGTCAAATCTGCATTTCCCTGCAGTTTTTTAATTAAACCAACAATATGTGCTCAAATAAATGGCTCCTGCAAAATTAGCAGTACAGTGTTGCACAAATTAAAAGATACTTAAAATTCATAGTTTGCATATTTAATAAAAGATGACATTAGGTTCTGAGCTGCCTGTCTATCATTCCGAGTGCAGGACAATGAGGAAATCTTGTCACATGATATGGAGATAAGCCCTCATTACACTGGCTTTTAAACCTAGGGGACAAAACAACCCATTGAGAATTGTTCCAATTTGCCACTCGACCAAAATCAAAATGTATCATCGTGTCTGGTTTATTCCTTAAAAAGAATAAAATATTTGACTATCGATACTCTTTTGAGGTCTGCATCACAGTTGGTAGGATTTGCCAGAATTGCTTTTTTTGGCACCCGTTGAACAATATTTTATGTCAAAAGTTGAAAAATGATCTGACACCAGAGATGGACTGTTCTGCTCTTGCGAGCTCTTAGCAGTAGAATTTATAAAGCCGATAAAAATATACATTATTTAAATTTATAAATGTCATTACAATTCAGTTTCATTTGTTTCAAAGTCAATTCCATTACTGATTTCCAATATTGTAACTTAATTTATTGCAGCATTTTGTCCCTGTGACTACCAGACAACTTGGTTCACAAATCTAGGGTCACTTTCAAACATTGTAAATCTTTGTAAATTGCTGCCCAGGCAAGAACGGGGGTAACCAGTGCTTCTATCAGTCAGCATGGCTTGGGCTGAGCTCTACTGGTGTGAGCGGGACTAATTGGACCCGGTGGGATCTTCCATGTGAGAAACAAACTATTACAGATGGATCAGGCTTTTAAAAATGGTCTCCTAGCACTCACAGACCATATTCCCAGTAAAACAAATTGTGGTGGGACTGCAGTGTTCAATGAATAAATGTTACCCTCTGCCTTAAAATACAACTCCAAGCTTGCTGTTAATGCCTCCTTTGGCAATATTTTGTTAAACAACCGAATCATTCATTCAAACAATCTAGAATTACCCAGTTCACTAGAATATTATTTTTTCTAATAGAACTCTATCATCTTATTTAATAAAAATTCTCTCAATATATAGTGTTAGTAATTTTGTTAATTTTACAGCAAAAAAATTACATAAAGGCAATTTTGGTTACTCAAAGAATGAACCGTGTGGGTACTCAAGGTCTGAAATTCCACCTAGTCTTAGACAGTTAGATTGTTTTGTGATGCACTTTAAGATTTTGCAGCATTGTGGAAAATTCTCACATACAGCAAAGCAGGTTCTATTTAAGAAAACGGATACCAAATTTAGTCCTTATGAAATTTCCCTCATTTTGCACGATCTTAAATTGTAAGACAAAACAGTCTTATAGGCTAAAACTTGGTGCAAATTTAGGTCCTCAGTGTACGTAATTAAATTCCAAATTCTGATTTGCATCTGAAGCTAGTATTGTGATAGCAACAAAATGCAGTTATTCATTTGAAAGTGTTACTTGGTATTTATTTGTTCACTGACTCATTCTCGGGATGTGGATGATCCTGGCTTATGTCAGCATTTATTACTCATCCCTGGTTGACCCAAGAAGGTGGTGGTGTGCCTTTTCTTTTAAATTGTTGGAGTACTGGTAGAGATGATGTTAGGTAACAAGTTCCAAGATTTTGATTTAATCCCAACAGTTTTCTTTTTTATAGAAAAAACACATTCCTTTGGAATCTGTTTGAAATGTAGAATATATAGCTATAAACTCTGAATATATTTATTTTGTGTGTTTGTTCCTCTTTCCAGCTTCACTATATTCACAGTTCTCCTGGCGGGTCAGGCTCAGCCAATCTACCAGTTGCGAGTACAGTGTATGGCTATATTGGTTCACCTCCAGCTCAGCGCCATATCTCACCACTAGTGTGGCGTCTTGGACCAACTCACTTCCTGGAGGATGTTTTACCTGCTTCTAGCATCAGCACCATTTATGAACTAGGACCAAACTACATTGGAAGCTTCCAAGCTGTGTGTGTTCCATGTAAGTAAACAAATGCTTCAAATCTATGTATAAAATCCTAATTTTTTCCAAATGAATGTAATTTTGAATTAAATGCTCTTTACTCCCTCAGTCCTACCATCAGTGGCTGCACCTTTAGCAATTGTACCCCAGCTTTCTGCAATCTAAAATCTTTTTGTCTTGCACTTTCTCTGCCTTCAAAATCATCTTGGGAAATAAAAGTTTGATTTTTGTCTGTGTCTTTGGTCAACACTGTCAAATTCTCCCTCTTTCCTCTCTGCTTGTGTTCCTAAACTTTGTGAAATGCTTCAATAAGTTTATCCTATGCTGAAGATGCTATATATAAATGCAAGTTATTATTGTAGAGTATATTTGGCCTGGTAGATCTCTGCTCACAAGGGATGAGATACCTGTCACTGATTCTTGCATCAGATTCCCCAGTTTGTATTTATCTGTTGAAAATCCCTCTCACTTGCATTTCTTGTGCTCAACACATTGATATAAGCATGATGTTCCCACACTTGTCTCATGCTGTTATTTTATCAGTCTTGGATCTTAATGGAAAACAAAATCTTCCACTTAAAAGGGAGTGAAATATGGCTGTGTTGCATTCTCACTTTTTCTCTCATTCAGTTCAAGAGCTGATTTTGCCCCACTCCCTGAGGTTACAAACATGACCTGTAATGCTCTCAAACCCTTTTCACATTGAGTGATCTTTCAGGTCATTGAATTTCCTCTACAGAATGTTTTCAGAAACTCTCAGGATTACAGCGTTTTGAAAATTTCTAACCAACTTTACCGCAGAATGTTTGTACTCTAATCATAAGCATTAATATGACTAAGCAAGTCATGGCTTCCTTGCGTTAATTTAAGGTAAAATAGCAAATCGTTTTTTCAAAGAAAAAATCAGTTTGACCAATTTATTCTTTTAGTATAATTGAATTTGAACTTCTTCGGGTGGATGTTAAAGAGCCCTTTGACACTTATCAGCCATATGTTTCATAGGTAATTCACAGGGCAATTTTGTAAGGTCTATTGAGTGTTTTTGTAGGCAAAAGTAGCAGTACCCCACAAATAGCTAAGAATTGAATAACTAATTCATGTGAAGGATTGTTGGATTGAAGGATTTTTCAATAGTGTTGCTAGAATCTTTAATATCTATCCAAAGAATAAGCAGACAAAACCTCATTATAGCAACCAGATGTAGTATTACACTCTCTCCAAGCCCCAACCTAGAGTGCCCCCCTAAATTATGAATTTGAGTCGCAACAATTTTGACCGACAGGAGGAAAAACTGCCAACTGAGACAAGCTTCCATTACAATAGCAATTTTATGGTCTCCATTTTCTCTTATAAATGAATAAGAACAAAAATGTAAAGCAATAGTAATACATCATATAAAGAACAGTGCACAAGTGTCTTAGTCTAATACACCCTTCTTGTATATGTGAATGTCTTGGGTAAATTGCACGTGAAATAAAAGGTATTCTCTGGTTTGCTTTATATTCTTATCCTCAGGGCTATTCCACTTGTATGCCAATGATTGTGTTGAAATCTAGCTTCAGAACTTTGCATGTCATTGAAAATAGCATTGACATTAACTTGAACTCATAGCTTCAAGATAAAGATAACGGAACCAAAAAGGGCAAGAGTTTCATTATTAGTGAAAGGGTGATGGGCATGTGAAACAAACAAACATTAAACAGGCTTTCTTTAAACTCTGATTATTAAGCAGTGGTTGACATTCCATAACCGGCCTTGTAATGAGGCCACAATTGCTGTTCTTACTTTGATTTTGCGTGATGGCAAGCCTGAGCCTACCATCTGTGGTGCCTGAGCAAAGAATGGGGGCCATATGCAATTCATGTTATAAATGATCAGCGCTGTAACAAATGTGGAATAAGGGGTTCCACTGTGCCCGTGCAGCTGGTGCATCAGGAAACTAAATAGTTTCGGAAAGGAACTAGGAAAGGTTCTTGGAAAGTAAAAGATTCAGGGTTATTAGGTCAGGATACAAATGGGAAAGGAACGTTTGGGTTATTGGATGGGTGCTCAGGATGAGTTAATGATCTACGCTTGTCTGAAACCATTAGTTTGTTACTATTTATAAGCTTGAAAATAACAGGAGTATATCCCTGAAGGGAAAAATGGATATGGTAAATAGGAGGAAAACTGTAACAGTTCTGACATTATTTCAGCGTAAATTATCCTTGCCTTTGCGAAAGTTAAATTGGGATTTCCAGTGTCAACTGTGTCGCTGTGTATATCTTTGCAGTGAATTATCGCAACGATATCCTCATACTTTGCTGAATAAGTAAGATATTGTCATCGTAACATCATTAAAAGTTGCGAGCAAAAATACCCCAAACTTTCTCCAGTCAATCAAAAGTGATGTGCTGTCATTGAAAGTCACCCCTGTAGCAAAAAGCAATAAATTGAATTTTTTTTATTGTTTTCCTTGCACACCGAACTAATGTAATAAATAAAACAATACCAATTATCTGTCCCTATCCCTGTATTTTTTTATTTGAATTAAGGGTAATACTTGGACAATGTATTGTTCAAGAATAATATCCTCACTGTGCCACAATTATGCAGATTTATTCTGTTAAGAATGATGTACAGTTTCACTGCTTAGAATCAATCAATGCTTCACAGATATGAAATTCAGGTTTTCACATATAAAATAATCATACAATCAATGATCACAGTACCCATAGTGTAATAGAATTTATTTTAGAGAACATTTGGACTGGGTTCCTTCAGTGCTTTCTGTCAATGCATGGTTTGTTCTGGGGGTGAGTGTTACATCTTGCATTGAATATTCTATTGGAACTAAACTAGAAGCATGAGGCATTCGCTTCAGTGCGTTTTGTCCACAAAATATACAGTCAATTCACTTTACAGTATATTCTGTGAAGCGCTTTGAGACATTTCAACAACATGATAAGGAGCTATATCAAATGCAAGGATAGCAATGCTTATGTTATAATAATAATACTTGCATTTGATATAGCGCTTTTCACGTCTTCTCGACATCTCAAAGAGCTTCACAGAACAGACTGTAAAGTGAATTGAATGTATATTTATAGGCGAAACGCAACAGCCAATTGCGCACAACAATGTCCCTTCAAACAGTGGTGGATTGAAAATGACCAATTTATTATTGTTTTGTTTTTGGAGGGATTATTATTAGGCGTCTGGAGTAAGGAAACTTGCCCAAGGTTTCTTATGTTATTATTATAAGAGGTGAAAATTGGAAGCGGTACAAAGTGCAACTTTGATTAAATTATAAATTGTGCGTTTTTCAGCCTTAAGAATGATCTTTGTTTTATTGTTTTTAAGCCATTTCTAAATGGACTGAATATAATGACACCAATGATATTTAATAGGCATGCAGCAAAGTGCCCATTGCCCTGTATCATTTCAATAACTTATTTTACAAATGGGCTCTTTGAATATTTATTTGCCGTTGATAGATTTGTTTAAAGTTTCTGTCTTCTTTCAAGCTGTATGTGTATGCTGACTTTTTGTGCTAATCTGCTTACTCCCTCTTGTAAAGGTAAGGATTCCAAGTTAGAAACAGTTATTCCATCCCCCACCAGCTTGGTTCCTGAGGAAAAAGTATCATTTGCACTGTATGCATTGTCTGTTTCTACGCTAACAGTGGCCAAGATTCGAAAGAATTACAACAAAGTGGACAGCAAAACAATAGCAAAACAGGTGAGAGGTTTTCATTCAGTGGAGCTGAACAATCTTAAAAATTATGATCCTGTTCTCAAATGCCAGCCTGGTAGTGTTTTACTTGGTATTTTCATATTCCAATTCTCAGTAGAAACTAAAGATAGGTAATAATATGCGACAGGAAGGGTGGAGGACAGGGAGCGTAGGTGTCGGAGGATGACCAAAGGCATGGCCAAAGAGGAGGGTTTTGAAACGTGCAAGGGAGAGAGCAAAGTGAAGGGACTGTGGGATGGAGTTCCAAAGGGTGGGCAGCCTGAGGGGGAGGCAGTGACAGAGCCGGGCGATGTTGCGGAGGTGGGGGAAGGTCATGGCTCGGATCTGGGGTAGAAAGGACAGTTGAGGGTCAAACAAGATCCCAAGGTTCTGGACTGGCTCAGTGAGGCTCTAAAAATCCTAAAAGCAATGTTTCAAGAAAGGAATGTTTTTCCGCACCAACCCTAGTTTTGCATCAGAGGATCAGACTACCACTAGGCATTGCTTGTTCAGTGCACCAGCCTGACCCAATTTTCCTGATAATTTGTGTTCTGTTTGAAATCTGTGTCCATGCATATGGGTTTGTATGTGTGTCCTTCTCTCTTGCTCTTTCCCCCTTTCTATCATCTCTACTTCAGTGTTGAAATGTCGGTTTTATATCCTCCATAATGGGGAGACTACGTTAACCTCCTTATTCTCTATAACACAGTTAACATAGCCTCTGTCCATGAGTTGGGTGTGACTGGTCAGATTTTGTTCTCAACTGATAATTATTCATTTTCCTGTGTTGTACAGATGGCCATTTCTTCCCATGAAAATGCTACACCTGTGAAACTATTACACAATGCCGCAGGACATTTAAATGGACCAGCACGGACTATTGGCGCAGCTCTAATAGGATACTTAGGTACAATATTAATTTATCTAAATATTTCAGTTGAGCACATCTGAAATCCCACATTGCACATTATTGTATCTTTACTTTTTACAAACCTTGGCTCATGCCAACCTGCGCCTAATACTTTCCGGAATTAGGTAAACAGGATGAGCCCCTCCAGGGAGAGAGAGTGCATTCCATTCCAACAATCTGTCTCTGAGATTTCCATGTGTAGGTGGGACGCATGGAAATCTCAGCTTGTTTCGGCTACTCTTAAGCATGCTGATGGGTTTCTGCATATGTCAGACACCAGGCTGACCCTCCAAAAATTACTTAAAACGGTTGTAAGCTACACAAAAAAAATTGTGTGAGTGTAATTGAGACAATCTTTTTTTATTAATGTGCTTTGCCTTTATCCTTGAAATCATTTCATGGTAAAGTGGCATTTTGAAGAACATTTTATTGACTTGGGTTTTTACCTTTATTTGTTCGAGGTCTATATTAAGTTGTACCAATATCAAAAAAAAGCTCTCTTTATTGTTAATATCAACATTTTAAAACAAATTGAATGTTCCCTTCAATACATGTCTGCAACAATGGGTGTCACCTGTGTTTTTTTATATAGATTTGATTAGAATATGATTGTTTTCATACTAAGTTTATAACTATTATTTAACGCTTTTGTTTAAAAAACAATCACGCCTACTTAAGTGAAATATTTAATCTTTTGTTCTTCAGTTTCAATATTATTGACTAGTAAGTTTTGATGTTACAGAAAATGTGAAATTCTCAGATTAATTGTGACTTTTTTTTCCAAAAAGCAAAGCTTCATGTAACTTGCTTTCTGTGTTGACAGGCGTAAGGACTTCAGTTCCTAAGCCTGTTGCTACAACATTGCAGTACATTGGTGGGGCTGCTGCTATTTTAGGTCTTGTTGCAATGGCGTCAGATGTTGAGGGTCTGTATGCTGCTGTGAAGGCTCTTGTCTGTGTGGTAAAAAGTAACGCATTGGCCAGTAAAGAGATGGAGAGGATTAAAGGCTATCAGGTAAGAACTTTACTGGAACTTTTAGCAAAAAGGGGCTTGTTGGATCAATATGTGGTGTTTCATTAACTTATTAAAGCAAAAATGCATAAATATCTATTGATTTAAAGCAATGCAGTAACAGATAATGTGGAAATACAGATTATAAAGGCAAGGGACTCCACCCGCTCTATTATTTGTTCTAATTAAGGCAAAATAAATGATTTTATATGTGTGAAAATGCTCGATGGGTGTCTCTTAAAACCATGCATAAAAAGACAATCGCAAAGAAAGTTGTGTAGTACATGGGCAGCATTAAGATAGATTATGTCTGGATGATTAAGTATAGTAAATGATGAGAGAGATGCTTGGAAACAAGCGATGGCCTTAAATGCTTCAGGCAGAATGCAATAATTAGCTGCATATATTTTTGGGGATCAAAAATGTTGTATCGCATTAAACACTTGTTAAAAAAAAACTGGATGATTGAAATCTAAAATAAAGCCCATTAACAACTGTCAATACACATCAGATTATCTTCTGAAAGAGAAAGACCGGTTAACTATTTTGGTGTGACCTTTTGTGAGAATTGCAAATACATTAATGAATAGACCCTATCACCTCCATCCTCGCACGACTCCACTGGCTTCCCATCACACAGAGGATACAGTTCAAGATCCTGGTCTTCACCTTCAAAGCCCTCCATAGCCTTGCTTCCCCCTACCTCTGCGACCTCCTAACCCCCTACCAACCTGCCCACTCCCTCCACTCAGCGGCTCTGGCCTGCTTCACGTCCCCCGCCTCGCCCACCCCACCATTAGCGGACAAGCCTTCAGCCACTCTGCCCCCACCCACTGGAACTCCCATCCCACAGTCCCTCAGCCTCACGCCCTCCCTTGCCTCCTTCAAGACCCATCTCAAGACCTTCCTCTTCAACCTTTTTGATCTCCCTCCTTTCTCCTCCCCTGCCCTCCACCCTCCCCAGTTCCAATCCTCAGCTCTGGTCCTAAACACTGACTGTCCTGCGCCAACTGTATCCTCACGAAGTGAAAGGCATTATACAAATGTACTTTTGTTGTTGTAGTAGACAGTTGACGGTAATCTTTGTAGTGCATTGATAAACTATTACTAGTTACGATTGATTTTCTTTTGAATAAGGTATTTTATGTCTGGATGTGTGTGTGTTTCAGTTGTTGGCAATGCTGCTGAAGAAAAAGAGATCTCTCCTGAATAGTCATATTCTACATCTCACATTTTCGCTAGTGGGAACTGTTGACAGTGGCCACGAGACCAGTATCATCCCCAATTCTAATGGATTCCAGGATCTGCTGTGCGACTTTGATGTAAGACCTGGCACTTAGTAAAATGAAGTTGAAGTATATACAATTCAGTACCTGCATTTTACTGAGTCCTCGAATCTGGGCTCTGCACATGGAAGTATTGAGCAACCATTAGGGATGCTGCCTCATTTAATAATCGGATGCATCTGATACACATTTGGAGGTCAGATGAAACCATACTCAGAGCTGAGTATGGTTTGCACTGGGTCAACTATTACTACACGTCACAGTTTACATTAGGGCAAATTTCAAGTGGTTTGTGCAGTTAAATGAGAATGCCTGTCCACCATAGGTTTTGTAGTACAAATGTTCAAAAGAGGTAATGTCAGATTACATTTTTTTGTTTCTGATATCCTCCTGACAGGAAAGGCGCTATGTAAATTCAATTTGTTGTTTTTTTGTTGTAACGCTCAAATATTCCAGGAGAGGCCTCAGAAACTTTCAACGAGTGGGAAGCAGTGTAGTCAATCACAGCCTGGAACATGAAGGGCCCTCTGACTGCCTAGTTCTACAATATGATACACTTTACACTGCTGTAGCACCATTCACGTTGGATGGACACCCCAAAGCACTTAACAATTCTAGTTTGGCATTGGAGCTGAGGGTGGGTAGTTAGTGAGATTAACAAACTGCTGTCTCTAAGCAACCACACAGTTGGGATGATCTTCCTAAAGCAGCAGTTTAACCAAATATAAACAATTGTGAATGTTGTTAAAGTACAACATACCCATACTACACCATCTGTTTTCCAGGTCTGGCTTAATGCACCGTATGAGCTTCATCTATCTTTGTTTGAGCACTTTATTGAACTTCTGACTGAATCAAGGTACTCGATTACTTTAAAATGCTTTCACCTTTAACACTGATATATTAAAAGTTTTTTGCTCCTTATTCCTTTTGGAATATAAATGTGCCTCAATTCTACTTTCCAGCGAGGCTTCCAGGAATGCCAAGTTAATGAGAGATTTCCAATTGATACCAAAGCTCCTGCTTACTCTGAGAGACACATCTCTGTCACAGCCGACCATTGCAGCCATCAGTAATGTGCTCAGTCTTTTGCTGCAGGGCTTTCCAAACAGCAATGATCTGCTCAGGTACAGTCTGTAATTACTTCAAAGTATAGCGGAATAGCCCAATAATTTCATTTGAATGGATCTTCTGCAGGATTGTAAATATATAACATCCATACTTTATTTAGAGTTGTGCTTTTGTTTCCAAAGAAAAATAGTAAGGGGCAGAAAACCCCATCGCCTATTTATCTAGTTATAGGATGTGAATGATCCACAGTGGATGGATACCCATAGAATGTATCTTTTGCAAATGTATGATAGAAAATCTTTGTTTGAGCGCTTGGTGATGTGAACAAAAGAATGGAGAAATGAAGATTTTATTTTCTCAAATTTAGTAAATAGTAAAAATGCTGCTGAGGGTGTGTGTGTGTTTCAGGGTAATCGCTGCCATTTTCACTCTTTTTGTGCTTATCCAGGTTTGGCCAGTTTCTTTCCTCGACATTACCAACCTTCGCAGTTTGTGAGAAGTTCATAATCATGGAGGCTAATAATGAGGAAAAGGAAGAAGGTGAGCATTTTAATTCATGGGTACAAGCACGTTCAGATGTCACGCACCATACTTTCTAGTAACTTGTGACTTGGCTTCAAAACCTGCCACACTATGAAAATATAATTTACTGCATGACAGCACTGAATAACCTATGACTTCTAGCATTCTGCTTCATCCATTTCTCTCCTCTTTCTCTTTCTCTCCCTCACACATGCACACACGTACACACTGGCCCACACGTACACACTGGCCCACAAATACACACACACATACAATTTAGACTTCTGCTGCACCTTTCACATTGTGATCCCTTTCCCTCTAATAAGTTGCTTGGAAGCCATTGCTCTCTTCCAAACTAACAGTGCTGTGGAACATCCTCCCGACGTGAAAGGCGCTATACAAACGTAATTTTGTATTAAATGGTAGCCTGAATTGCAGCACTGAGAATAAGATTCGCTTACACTGAGATTTATTTCTGAATTATAAAAATGATCTGAATCTATCAAAGTTCGAGATTAGCTGTCCATGAATATTTTAAAGCTTTACAAATGTGCGAACATCTTTATTAATAATAAGCGTCAGAGCTGAGTTTTGACAATGTGGTGCTTGCTGTACTCCAGGAGTAGAGGATGACTTTGGTGGCCTTGTGTCAGCTAATACAATTCTACTAAGAAACCGACTTCTGGACCTCTTGCTGAAACTGCTTTTTGTTTCAAAAGACAAACCCAGCGTTGTTCATCAGTAAGTACTGCTAGAGATGCATGTCGGGTGTGTAGACTGAAGAGGTGATTCAGACTTTTTATTTGAACAACAGCTTTGAAATGATGATTGAACGCAAATGTGCAATTTGAGACCAAGTTTAACAGAAGAAATCGCACACTGCCACCTGGTGGCGGTTGGTGTACTGAGCCTGAGGATAATCTGATGGGTTCTCAAGCCACTCCTAAGTACCAATCTCCCTGAGTTTATAAGCAAGGAGTTGGCTCTTTCCCAATGCTTAAAATCATCACAGTGGCTAAGTGCAAGAGAGCCATGGATTATTTTCTATAATTAAATAAAAATGTTAGTTGTTTTGCTCAGTGCACAGCATCTAGCCTTCAGGAGTCATTTGAACAGAAAATGTTCCCTTTAGACTCTTCCATTTCTCCTTTAAACACTAATTAATATCCTTTTGATCTTAATATTCTTTGGCACAAAAGTAAATGCAAATTTATTCTTTTGCTCTTACTCAAATTTGCTCTTGTTCGTTTTAAAGAGAAGTGTTATAGTAAGTTCACGTGCCACAGGCTAGGAGATTTGAGTTGAAATGGCAGCCTTAGCTGGCGTTCACACTCAACATCCCTAGACAGTCTATGGCTGACCTGAGCTGGGTTGGTGGCTGAAGCCCAGAGATGCAAAATAGCACATTGATGTGACAAAGGTTAGCTTTAAAGAGGCACATCACTACTCACGACTGGCTGGCTGTGAATCATTCTGGTTGTGATACTAGTATGACCAACGTTTGCCAATCTGTTTTGCCAGAGTTAAGGATCCATGGACCATGAGGCTATGTAGGGAACAACTAACAATTAATACAAAGATCAGGAAACATTTGCTTTTCTTAAATGTTGAATAATATACATAGAACCAGACTATTATTTTGTTTTTCTTAAACATTGAGATTTTCTGTATTTGCCCATCTTGCATACTGTTTTTTAAAAAAATCCATTTTGAGATTTTAGCCTCTTACATGAAATATTTTGCCATTTCTTTCGTCCACTCCCATTCAACATTAAAAAAAACACATGCAGGTCATGTGAAGAATTGGTGAAGATTCAGGGTTTCGACTGGCTTCTGATGTTCATGGAAGAGCACTTGCATCCCACCACCATCACTGCGGCAATGAGAATTCTGGTTGTTCTGCTCAGCAACCAGTCCATCCTGGCCAAGTTTAAAGAAGGGCTATCGGGAGGTGGCTGGCTGGACCAGACCGACTCGGTTCTCACAAATAAAATTGGCACTGTATTAGGTATGTGTAAACGCGCTGTGTTACAATGTGCTTCTGATATTTGGATTACTTCCTCACCTCTCTGCAAACAGAATGGTAACATTTTTGGAATTGTGAGTTTATTAATGTGTAGTTTTATTGATTCGTAGAATTTAATAAATATTTTGAATCTGATGTAATATCTCTAGAACCAGGGCTCTCAGATACTCAGTACCCGGTTTGGTGGCAGTATTTGAGATTGTGAACTACATCAAATACAGATTACAATGGAAACTGAACTCCTTGGGATTGTGAACCAATACTTTTTGCTTTGTGTATTGCAAGTTGTTTAAGGAGCTGACTGTTGTAAACATTAGAGAAGTTAGAGAAGGTAGCAGTAAATTCATATTAGCAATAGGAATAATAGATTACAAAGCTTTACAATTCATTAAAAATTAAGAGAACATTTAAATTTAAAAAACGAGACCCGTATAAATCACTAACTCCTTGTCAATGACCCCAGTTTCACCCAATGTCTTGCTTGACATCCCCTCTCAGGAATGTTGGGCAACACTGTACAATAAAGTCTGACATGAGTTTCCCCATTATCAGCTTCTGATTTCATTAGTGCCACAGTGGACAGTTTATAAGTGGAGCGGAGACACTGTCTAAGAAACAATAAATCTATAGGAGCAACAGTCTGTTAATAATTCCACTTTTAAGTCTACATATTGTATTGAAGTTAGAAAATCTATCTCCCAATCAAATTCCTTTTTTGCTGGTGAATGAAAATGACGGATTGGCACTGAATCCTAGCGCTATCAGCATTGCAGAGCCAGGCAGGTAAGGAACAGAAGCACAGGAAACTGCAAATTAGCTAAAGCCACAGTGGACTGCAATAGATATACAGGCTTGGGTAGATAATAAAGAGATTAAAACAACACCAACTTTACGTTAACTCGTTCAGAAAGTAGGCAGTGGAAGCAGTTTACATTTTGAAATAATTATGGACCTGCAAATGTTCATGGCTTGAGTTCACATAGAATAGGCAAACAAAATTAGAATGAATATTTATAGTGCTCTGCACAAGGTTTAAGATTTTCAGATTTTAAAAATCATTTCATCCTGTATTTCATGTTTTATTTGGCATGTCAGTTGATTTCCGTATGTTGTGTGAATGATTAGAAACTTTCCTTGTTGGATTCAGCTACTGTCTAATTATAAATTGATATGCATTTGCTAAAGAAGTGCTGAATGTCAACAGAGCTTTTACAGTCCATGCTTTGTGTACTGTTTGTCCATTCATTCCTAATGCTAATTATTCAAATTCAGATTAGCATGAGATGTTCTAATATCCCTGCATATTGTACATGTGAGAAACACATGTGCAAACAACACAAATTTCAGAAGGGGGACGGAAATGCCAGACAGTTAGTTATTTTATACATACATATGTTAAACATCAGTAGGAAGGCTTTGTCAAGGACTAGTGGGAAAATGCAAACTGCATGATGCAGAGGATTTCACCTGGGGCTGCATTTTGGGTGCAATAATTATTCCCTAGTTTCCTTCCTGTTAAAGATGGGAACATTAGCAAGGGTTCCTGTGCCTCAACCCTTGTTGAGAAGCGCACTTGTATGAATGTCAAGTTGGGACAGGATAGATATCGGAAGTGATCGTATAATCTGTCATGCTCACTATCAAAGATCACACGTGAGTACTAGCCATTTATGAGCTATCAGAGTGAGCTGTGCTGTAGTACTGTACTGAAGTGTAGGAAAATTGAGTTGAACCTATTGAGTAGAGGAGGATCGTAAGGGTTAGTTTGTAGAAGAAACATTGGCCAGAAGAAATCATTATCTGCTTACAAATAACAATTGGTTGAATGCAGTCTCAATGTAAGTCTTCAATTCATCACAAACCGGGTGCTTAATGGAGGAAGAAACAATGGTCAGGTCCATGTGGAAGCAAGGATTTGTCTTCATTGAAGGTGAATTTATAATATAGTCATCCTTCAGAGTTTATTCAGCGCAGTTGAAATGCTTTCTAGTCAAACATCTCTTGGAAGGATCTCTCAGAGGATAGAGAGGCTGATAGGTAGCAGATGTGGTTTAATGTAGCTAAGTGTAAAATAATTGATAATAATATAATAATAATCTATTCAATGCAACAAACAAATCAGCACAGAGCTTCAGGGGTGAGTGAGTGGTGATGCATTGAAATATGCAGATGAATCTTTACATCATTAAGAAAGACAAATAAGATACTGGGTTACATTATCCGAGAGAGAGTGCAAATCAAAAGAGATTTTTGTTTGATGTAAGAAGTTTTGGTTATAGATTAGCTGGAATATTGTATACCAAATTTTAGGAAGAATATTCTTAATAAAGAACAACAGTTGAGTGCCCAAAGATAGTGTCAGGTTTTGGGAATGCTATTTTCTGAGGAAAGATTAAGAACGTTAAGGTGATTTCCTTTAGAACAAAATATACTAAAAGTTATCTGGTGTAGTTTTCAAGGTTGTGAAGGAATTTGGTTGGTTAGGGCAATTGTTCAATAATAATACAAAGTAATCCATGCATTTGATATAGAAATCCATCACATTATCACAACATCTCACTTCTGACAATGTAACACTGCATTGATGTGTTAGTTTACTATGACTCGAACCCACAGCCTAATACTGTTCTGACTCGGAGATAAGTGTGCTACCAACTGAGCCAGGCTGATTGATACCTTACTCAATATGGTGAATGTTTTCGAAAGTCAGGGACATAAATTTGAAACAAGTTACCGATGAATGCCATTAAAGTAGATGGTTAAAAAAAAAAAATTATAACAGCAACTAGATGATTTTTTCGCAAAAAGAAGGGATTGACGAATATGGTGAGATTAAGTAACACATGCTCAAGGAGATGTACTTTTAAGTTTAGATTGGAGTTCTAGGAAGAAGTATTCTGTCTTATCCAATTGGAAATGTGCATATAATGGGAAACTTCAGTGATATGGGAAGAGAAATAAAGACCTAAGTTTCACCAGTGTTTTAAAAATATAGTGCACTCCTTTATCATTTGCCCACAAAATATACAATCATTTCACTTTACAGTATATTCTATGAAACGCTTTGTGACGTCTTGAAGACGTGTTAAGGTGCTATATCAAATGCAAGGATTATCATTATTATCTGAATTTTGTTTAACTTACTTTTCAGGTTTCAACGTTGGCAGAATTGCTGCTGGTAGATCAACAGTGCGTGAAATAAACCGCGATGCTTGCCACGTTCCTGGCTTTCCGGTGCTTCAGTCATTCCTACCGAAGCATACCAGTGTGCCTGAGCTCTATTTCCTCCTAATGGCCCTTTTCCTCCAGCAGCCAGTTACTGAACTGCCAGAAAACTTACAGGTAAACAATATCTATATAAAACCGAGATTGTCTTGAGTGTTCATTTTAGTAAATTCAGGACACAGTCGTAAGCTGCAGATACCGTGAAATTGTTCCAACTATACAACAGGTTCTCCATAAAACGTACTCCCATTCCAATCTGCCCGATGAAAAGAATGGAATGGGAAGGATCTGTAATTATCTGTGAACATGATTTGTTTTTTAAAAAGGAATTAGGCTAAGGATGATGTTATTGTTACAAAGCAGCTGGGAGGAATGGGAAACGCATATTAATAATAATAATAATCCTTGCATTTGTTATAGCGCTTTTCACATCGGGAGGACATCCCAAAGCGCTTCACAGAACACACTGTAAAGTGAATTGACTGTATATTTGTGGGCGAACGCGGCAGCCAATTGCGCACAGCAATGTCCCACAAACAGTCGTAGATTGAAAATGACCAATTTATTATTGTTTTTGGTTTTGGAGGGATTATTATTAGGCTCTGTGTGGAGTAAGGAAACTTGCCCAAGGTTTCGCCCTGCCTGGAATTGAACTCAGGTTTCTCGCTTGCAAAGTGAATGCTCTAACCACTGAGCTACAGGACTCCACTAATTGTCCCCCATTCGAAAGTTACTGTCAATGTTATATACTTCACTGGCTTTATTCGATGGTTTAGCTATTTGCATTTAACCCCCACCCCTCAAAACACAAATAAAGCTGGAGGCTTAACTGGATATATACCTTGTTGTGCAATTAAGTTAAAAAATGCTCCCTTTGTGAATCTCCATGTGCGAGAATTATTATCAAATAATTACCCAATAAGTATTGAGTGTTTGGGTAGATATACCATATGGGCATTTTACAGACTTCAGAGTGTCCATGAACATCTCATTATTGACAAATCCATTGAATCACTTGGAAAAATCCCCATCTCCATCTTGCCGATTCTGCTCAGCACCAGCTAATAAAGGTCTCCTGGCTGCTTATGATTTGTGAACAACAAAACACTTTGGTGTTTTACGTCTGACTATAAAAAGGTTATAGCATAGACCCAAACCATTTGGGCTCCTCAAATCTGCACTGATGTTTTTCTCCACAGGAGACGTTGATCTAATCCCACTTGCTCCCCATTCCCTTTAATACTCTTGTTCAGGCATCTAATTACAAAATTGGTATCTTACATGTTAATTGCTGTACACACATTATATAATTTGCATTTATATAACACTTCATGATGGGAGGATGTCTCAAAGCACTTTACACATTATTTTTATTTTATCTACCATGTTTGTTTAGCTTGTTGCATAATTTCTCTAGGTGGAAAAGGAAGACAGCACAAAATGATTCATGATGTCTCTCTCCAGCTATTTTTTGATGAGCTGCATTTCCAAATACTTTCTATATCCAAACTGATCATTTGACAGTTTAGTTCAGATCAAATGTATTTTAAAGATTGTTTATCTACCACACAGATTATGGTGAAGGGTGTCTTGTGAAGCAAAATGACAGAAATGTTTTGTATAATACAGTCATGATCATGGTCCTGTGTTCTGCAATACATTTATGAATATCAGGGTGAAAGGTTCAGCCAAGCATGTTCTGTAGATGACAGGTCCTTTTAATGTAATTAGAACATTAACCTGTGAAGGTTGACAGACAAGATGATAGAAGGAGCAGAAACCAAAATGTGATCATGATGCACATCAATTGTAATAAACTCCATTAAATGCACTGGTCCACACGTTTGTCTCTTCTTGGTTTGTTTCAAGTTGTGTACATAAACAGTCCATTTTTTGACATTCTGTGATACAACTTGCAATAAAACCTTTATTTTTTGAAAGAAGTTCCTGTGGAAACTTGTCAACTTTTGATGCTGTAAGCCAAGGGGATGCAGCACAGATAAAAGCGTGAAAATTGTTCTTTGCTGGCGTTGGGATTAGACTGCCTTTTACTAACATTATTGTGCTGCAGATGGTACTGTCCAGTGAAGGAATGCAAGGTGTGCAGCAGTATTCTTGCTTTGTTCCCTTGAGCAGATCATTTCCAAAGTGCTGGCAATAAAAGTGGGGCTTGGAACAAAGCAGAAATTGAATGATTGTGAATAAACTGCTTTTAATTTTTTATTAAAATGAAGGTGCATTGAAGGTAATTTCCATGTGCCATTAGCAAGAGCACTGCTCCCAGATTTCATTGCAGGGTAAAATAATGACCTTGAATGAATTTTGTCCTAGAATTCATTTAAATTTGTATCCCAACCACTAAAATAATTATAACACTAAAATAATTGTGTTATAACACTTATTATAATAGAGTGTCATAATGTTGGACGCTGCTAACATTTTCTTCCAATATAGAGCTACCTCTCCCAAGTTGGTCTTTTCCAAATGGGATATTTAACATTCCTATTCTCTGTTGATGCTGCACCTTTTTGCTGATAAAATAGAATACCTACTCGGAGGATTATTTAACAGATGTCAATCAAATGTGTTGTTTATGTTCTCTTTTCTCAATGTAGTTTGATCTGGATTCAATCTGGACATTCATCTTTGGAGTACCAGCTTCCAGTGGAACAGTGGTTGCATCTGTTCATACAGTGTGCTCAGAAGCTGCTTTCTTATTGCTGGGTATGCTCAGGAGCATGCTCAATCTTGTAAGTGTTGCCATTAACTCCAGAATAAATTTTACGGACCCTTAGGAAATTATGCAAAATTGCAGCTTTCGGTAAAATCAAACGTTTCTCAGAAAAATCTTCAAAGCTGCGTGTAACCTGATTTGAAGAAAAATGTTGATATCAGAATGTTCAAGAACTAGTTTGATGTTACAATGTGTAGGCAATTAAGGGCTGGTATTTGGAAAGATGAGGTCAGATGGGCAAAAGGCCTTTGTAATGGTCTCAGTAGTGCAGTACCTGAGCCAGGTGGGGCCACAGTATTTCAAAGCAAAAAGGGCCACTTTCGTCCAAACTGATCTTGTGACCCAGAAAGCCAAAGCCCTAAAGCAGGGGGTCTCCCACTGGTTGATCACTGCTAGGAAGCCAAGAGGAAGGAGCAATAGAATTGCTTTGTTATTGAGTCCAATTGAAAACGAAGCCAGTTGTGTGACGTATTTCATGCATATCAAAATAAAAACATCAAATTTCATGTTTAAACTGCAGTAAATACTGCTCCTTTTTGTTTTTACTGAGCGTGCGCGAGACGTCACCTAGCGGCGATCGACCGGTTGGAGGCCCCTATCCGAATAGATAGAGTGATCATTGCTTTAGGTTTCACGTGTGTCAGACACCTGGCTGACCAAAAAATCAAATAAAAAGAGTTGAAAAGAAAGCTAGGAAAGGAGGAAGAATGTTTCATGTTGGTAAGCCGCACAGTTAACATTATAACTGATAATAAAAAAAAAGCCGGAAACTGCTTTAGCATTTCCATTTAGAAACGGGGAAATAAAATAAAAAAAATAAAGTGTCTATTTACTCACTAGGCCGTAAGATAGATGTTTTATGCTACTGCTGTGGATAGGCCTTGAATTATCTGTTTTATTAGCATGCATTAAACTTTAAGGTGGCTTTAACATAAAGTTCACATAGTAAAAGGTTTATTTTTCACATGTTGATTATGTTCTTCCCCCCCTTAGCCCTGGCAGTCAGAAGAAGAGGGCTCCTGGCTCAGAGAATACCCAGTCACTCTGCTGCAGTTCTTCCGTTATTTATATCACAATATTCCAGATCTAGCTCCGTTTTGGACAAGCCCAGAGTTTCTCTGTGCATTTGCAGCCACAGTCTTTCCATTTAACATCAGGCCATATTCCGAAATGGTACGTGTTTAACATATTTTGGATGAGGTTCGTACATGCAACAGACACATTTACATTGGAACTTGTTGGTGGCATGGTTAGTGGTGCATTTTGGGTTTGTATCTGTTATTTGTTAGATGATGCATTCTCCACATCGCTCTGAGTGTTTGAACTCTGTGGACTTCTTCATTAGGCCAAGGGGAAAATGAGAGGCTCATGTGTACCTCATTGTTGTTATACATGTTTGATGTGAAAGTTGTGTTTGCACCAGCGTAGCTATTCCTCCCCTTCTGTCCCTGCATATAAACAAACTGGATGACCAATGGGCATTTGTTTTCTTTTAATATATGTTGTGAAAGTAAGGAAAAGGACAACTCTTATTGCTCTGTCTTTCTAGGGATTCAATCTGTATAATATCTTCCCAATTATATTTTGGAGTCATTCAATTATTTCCCTTGCTTCCCAAACAAATTTTGGAAATATGGGAATGATATGTTACTTTCTTGACTTTCCTTTGAACAAATTGTTTTGTTCAGCTTGAGTGTAATATCAAAGTCATTAAATGATTCATTCCTAATGCACATAATAACTGAAAGTAACCGATCTAAAAGAAAAAAAATTGAATGTCTATAAAATGCTATGTTTAATGGAAAGTTTGCTTTTTTTTAAACCCAAACTACTTCCACATGTTATATATTAGGCAGACTTTGTTCTAATGGAAGTTGTCTCAAGTAAATTGATCAACTAATCTGCAAGATATAATCAAAACGCAAAATACTGCAGATTCTGGAAATCTGAAATAAAAACAGGAGTCGCTTAGAACACTCAGTAAGGTCAGGCAGCATCTATAGAGAAAGGAAAGTGAGTCAAAGTTTCGGGTCCATGACCCTTCGTCAGAACTGTTCTTCGTCAGAACTGTTCTGACGACGGGTCGTGGAACCGAAACGTTGACTCACTTTCCTTTCTCCATAGATGCTGCCTGACCTGTTGAGTGTTCCAAGCGACTTCTGTTTTTGCTGCAAGATATATAATGTTTTGCGACATTTCTGTGAGAATTAAGATGGGGGAAAGAGTTTGGTCTGAGTAATGTAAAAGTGCAAATGGGAGAAAAGGAATACCGACCAACAATTCTCAGAGTATTGTGGTAGATTTTGTGTTTGTGAGATGCATTTTTTGTAACATGAATTTTCCAAGTCTCCTTGATTGTATCATCAAAACACATGCACACAACACATGTGCACACCCACACACACACACACCCATCCCCATCCCCCTATTCATATATACACACACACTATAACTAGTAGCAGTGAACTTGTGTTGGCGTGATTTACAAATATTGTTACAAAAAGTTTGAATCGCAATCCCGTTGTGAGTAGCATATCATGTTTGCGAGATTGCTGTGATAATTAACTCTATGTTGAAAATATGTCAAAGAAAAATTAAGGTAATGAAATCAAGTTTTAGGTCGTTGTGTTGAGATATATCTAATGAGAATAAAGTTTGAAACAAGATGATAATTCAACTAAGCAAAATGATGGCACAATAGTAACTTACTGGTGAAATAATCTCTCTCTTGACTTTTACTTAGGTGAGTGATCTGGATGATGAAGTGGGTTCCCCTGCTGAGGAGTTCAAAGCATTTGCAGGAGACACTGGCATGAATAGGAGTCAATCTGAGTATTGTAACGTGGGGTCCAAAACCTTCTTGACCAATCATCCCGCTAGGAAATTTGTCTTCGACTTCATGCGTGTCCTTGTGATAGACAACCTGTGTCTTGCACCCGCTAGTAAACAGACAACGCTTATCGACTTACTGTTGGAGGTAAGTGATCACATATCATTCAATAAACCCTTTTTCTGATTTTGGAAGGAATATTTTGTATGTCTGAGCAGTTAGGTAATCCGTAAGACTTTCTTTGCAGCAATTGTTTTGTTTCAATATGTATTTTCTGAATCTTAAGTATAGTAGTATATTCCTTAGTCATGTAAGGTAGAATACAATGAAAATGTTTTACAACAAATTTTCATCCTGATAGAATTACATTAATTTTACTCTGCACCACTTTTAAGTGAATTCTGATTCAATTGCAGAATGTACATTTTATTTACTTTATTTACTTCTCTTCTGATTTAATGAACCTTTAAAAAATATATATAATATTGTAAGTTGTGTAATGGATAGCCCAGCTTCTGGCAGTATTGGTGAATATGCACTGTTCAAAGTGTTTTTTGATTGGTAAAAAGATCACCTTATGTTTAAGTTACTAACAAAAGGTGCAGTGCAATCAAATTTCTTTCAAATGGAAGTAACCTCCATTATAACACAGTCCTCTGGGTCAAACATCTCAGAGGCCACCTTATAACTGAAATGCAAAGAAATGTCAGGTTGTTGCTGATGTTACATCCTCTGTGCGAAGTGCAGTAAGCACTGCTGACAACAACACCTTTGTGAATGAAGTGACATTTGTACACTTCCTGTATACAATCAACTCACAGGAAGTGGTGATCTGATAACCCAGACATTGATCTTTTTGGAATAGGAAATGGGTATTCACCACCAGAAGCCTGGTGCACAGGGTTTCCAGTTAGCACCGGCCCCTAGACACCAGTACCATAAGACAGGCACTAAACTGGGTAAATATATGGTTGGTATAGCGGGCTTCTAATGTATTAAATTTGAAACAGTGCACTCAATAGCCCTAATATAAAATTCCATTCACTCTAATCTTCGAGATTATAGTAATGTCACTTTGTATTTAACTTTAGAGGCAATTATTTGGGCAAGTCTAGGAATTCAAGGTGGTGTTTGTTATACTGGAGTCTGTAGTTCTGGTTGAGTCTTTCAGCTGCCTTGAAAGATAAATCACTGAAACAAACTATGTGCAGTTACATCCTGTATAATTAAAGGAGGATAATTTCTTATCTTGTTTCCCCCAAGCCCAGTTCAATATGTGAGCGATTCATATATTTTTTTTAAAAAATTGATTTACTGGTATTCTATTAGTCCTGAATGGTTAAACAACCCTGAATAGACATGGATTGCATCCCTGTATATAATGAAGTTGTATGTTTAGATGATATAATGCTGCTTAATGAAATCAATCTTTTTATTTTCTAGGCTTCACCTGATAGATCAACACGGACTCAGCAAAAAGAATTCCAAACTAATATTTTGGACAGTGTGATGGATCACTTGCTGGCAGCAGATGTTTTGTTAGGTAGGTCTAAATGGAGTTCTTTGTGCAGAAGAATTTGACCTTGCCTTCGATCATCCTCCCACTTCCATCCCCCTTCCCCTCCATCCCTCTTGCCTCCAACCTCCAGCTCGGGTACAAACACTTCACTGTCCAGCACCTTGGGACGTCCTCCTGTCATTGAAAGCACTATATAAATGCAATTTGTTGTTGGTTGGTTGATGTAATTTACTGGAAACCTGTTAAAGAGTTTCCTTTCCATCAAAAGCTCAGATTCTAATGCTTGGGTTAGTTGGACACAGATGCAACCAATCAATATCTGACTATTAAAAATTCCTTCAAATCTGACAAGTAATTTGCCTGCACAGTGTAAAGGGTCACCTGGGCACAGCACCGTGATGTTTAGAGATCACAGGCTTTCTTGGTGAATTAGAGAAAGACTGCTTTAAGAAAGGAATATTTGCAACATGAAAGGTGAACCCAATCAACCAAATATGGGCAATACGCAGTTTGATGTGCAAAGACCTTCAGATTTAAGTGCATCACAAGTGAAATGCAACAGACTCATACAATTGATATTTATACCTAGAAGTCACTTAAGTTAGGAGTTCTTGTTTTCCATGGGCTCAGGGTGAAGCAGGCCAGCTATGATCTGCTGGGTTGGTTTGCTAAGGTCCCTGACTTGTTAAGAATAAGGAGGAGAATTACTGCTGCTCCGTGATTCTTAGCTTGAACAAAACTATGGTTTCAGCTGCAATCGGAAACTTGGACAATGTTCCCAGCCAGAACCAGCCTAGTTTTTGTAGGATATGGGACAGACTAGACCAAAACTATATCCAATTCTGTTATCCTGGGATGATGGATTAAATTATTAACCATTCCAATCAATTTAAGTGGCCTTCTGTGATGCATTAAAATAATCCTTGCATACGTTTGTGGATTGGTTACCTATTTACCTTATTTGGGGAATTCCAGATATTTTATAATAGTGGTGAGCATGTTCAAAGCTGTACACCGCTGCATGTCAGCAACTTAGCTCATTAGGGTTGAGGAACGTAGACCAAAGAAAAATAAACACTTGAGTCAAGGGAAAATGTCTGTATTCTTACGCCTTGGTCAATATGTGTTTCCTGTGATTTACATGGAGCAGCTGCTTTTTAGAAGGGTCAGGCTGACTGGTAAATTTTCCAGCTCAACATGGATTTAGTGGGCTTATGTTTTCAAGTGGAACTCTAGCAGGTGATGTTTCGCTTCATTAAACTTCCTTACTCACAAATACATAATTTGGTTGTATGCTCAGCTGTTCACTCAGCAAACTCGGTGAACCTTCTACAGACCATAGGAACAGGAGGAAGCCTTTCAGCCCATCGAGCCCATCCTACAGAGCCTATTGCTGTTCTTCATTTAAAATCGTCTAATGTAGGAATGCCATCGTTGTCCGTTGCTGTGAATGCCATCCTACATTTTGGTGTATTTCAGAATGCTTTATTTTTTGCACAATTGTTTCAGGTGAAGATGCAACCTTACCCATCACCAGTGGAGGAAGTTACAATATTCTGGTGAACAATGTATTTTACTTTACTCAGCGCGTTGTGGATAAGCTTTGGCAGGGGATGTTTAGCAAGGAGTCCAAGATGGTGGTCGAATTTATTGTCCAGCTGATAGGACAGGTAAGATACTTTGGGAAATTATTTTTTAAGAAAAGTATTATTAAATATAAACTTGAGAATGTCCCATTTTAGTTTGTGTTTCACGGTTGATTAAGATTAGGGGATTTTAAATGTTTTATAGAGGTAATATTTGAACTTGCTTGAGTAGTCAGCCATTGATCCGCTGACATTTCTACTTTGAGTGACAAGGATTGACAAGGATGCTGATACAGGACTCCACAGGACGTGGAGTCCTGTAGCTCAGTGGTTAGAGCACTCGCTTTGCAAGTGAGAGACCTGAGTTCAATTCCAGGCAGGGCAAAACCTTGGGCAAGTTTCCTTACTCCACACACCTAATAATAATCCCTCCAAAACAAAAAAACAATAATAAATTGGTCATTTTCAATCTACGACTGTTTGTGGGACATTGCTGTGCGCAATTGGCTGCCGCGTTCGCCCATAAATATACAGTCAATTCACTTTACAGTGTGTTCTGGGAAGCGCTTTGGGACGTCCTCCCGACGTGAAAAGCGCTATATCAAATGCAAGGATTATTATTATTATAAAAAGGGGAAACTTTGGGGGAAATATTTATTGTATTCAACTGACAGCCAAGAGTGCAGAGTGTAGGTATGTGTGAAGGTGTTTTATTCTGGAGTTCCTAATTGCTAATGTGTTCCGAAATTGATAATGTGGCAACTTCAGCACTTGGCTACACTCAACCGATCTGCCTTCTTGCATTATTGTATTTATCCAAAATATTCACTTGTGTTGAGGTACTACTTCCCCCACCTTATTTTGCTATTGAATATTGTCTGTGAGGTGGGTCGTCAACAAACAATGTTTCTCAGTACATTTTCAACTATTTTATGGTTTCTGCTTTGTTTGATTGTAATCTTAGCAAAACTCTTGCAAAGAATTGTAAAGCTCTTTTAACATTTTCTGTGTTGCCCAACCAAGTAGAGTCCATCCTTAATAACCAGCTCTGGGATTTTAAAGAGGCTTACGTGACAGCTGGATTTAAAAGCATTGTTTACTCAATTATTCAAACATCCAGTTCCAGTTCTAATGGTGTGTGGAGGTTGAACTTTTCTAGAATGAGAGATTCTATCTATAAGTAATGTACCTAGTTATTCTGCAAACATGATATTCTGTCAATCACTGACACTATTGTTTTATTGTCCTGTATTTTTTTCAAAAAATTATTCATAGACCCTTATATAATGGCTATCAGCGCTGACATTTGCTGGCTTCGCAATGCAGTAGAGTTTTTGCAATGTTCTTTCAGCATTTACGTGTTTAATCATGTGTGTTGCCTCTCATTGCAAGCCGTTTTGCTGCACATTTCTTCTACTTGAGTTTGGAATCTGGCCTAAGACATTCCAAGTGATCTGTGGGTTTGTGTTGCTGGTTTTAATACCCTGAGTTTGGTAATAATATTGTAGATGCAGTTTTGCATTTTGTACAGATTCTGCAGTCATTAGTACAATTAATGGCCAGTAACAGAAATTGAACATTTCTGCTGCTATTCCTACAGTGAATGTCAGTACCATTTACTTTCTAGAAATTGTGAACCTAGCAAAAATAGGTTTGGTTATGTTGTCTTATCTTGCACTGCAGTCAGCTCAAGTGGGACAATAGTCCCACTTTTGTCTTGATGGGTTTGTGCTATGCTGCTTTGCTTGTGAATAAATCAGTGTCATCACTTACAGCATTTTATTCTAAAATCTATTACTGACACAAACGACAAAAGCAGGCAGTCACGACTCTTGACATTAATTATAAGAGTAATCCTTTGAAATGCCTTAAGATGTTTTGAAGTGAAAAGGTGCTATAAATATACAAATTCTTTCCTTTTTGTTATTCTTAACTTATGTATGCTTACCATCTTTTTTTTGACTCCTGATGCAAAATTTGAAAGTTGATTTCAAGTTGGAAGAACACACAAATCAACTGGCAACTCTCATGCTTCGCAACTTTGCTAAAAGAAAACTCCGGTTTGTTGTGGCTGCCAAGCTCTCTGGTTGGGCATTTTTCAAAAAGTGTATCTACAGATTTTGCTGCATTATTTATAAAGCACTTGCTAATTTTCTCATATCTGACAGAATTAGTCCTGGAGTCCTGTAGCTCAGTGGTTAGAGGACAACAACAACAACAATAACAAGATTGCATTTAAAGAGAGCCTTTCACTTCGGGAGAACGTACCAGGGCGCTGCACAGTTAGGTCGGGACCCGAGCAGAGGGGAAATGGTCAGGGTGAGGGGAGGGAAGGAAGGGAGCGAGGAGGGGGTAGAGAGTCGAGAGGAGAGCTGAAGGAAAGGCTGAAGAGAAAGGTCTTGAGACCGGACTTGAAGGAGGAAAGGGAGGAGGTGGCGAAGGGGCTGAGAGGCTGAAAGCCCGGCCACCGATGTTAGGGCGGAGGGTGTGGAGCAGACCGGAGCCAGAGGAACTGAGGGTACAGGCAGGTAAGTTGGGGGATAGTAGGTCGGAGAGGTAGGAGGGAGCGAGGCCATGAATGGCCTTGTAGGTGAGGATGAGGATCTTGAATTCGATCCTCTGGGGGATGGGGAGCCAGTGGAGGCGAGCGAGGGTGGGAGTGATGTGGTCCCGAAGCCTGGTGCGGGACAGTACACGAGCTGCAGAGTTCTGAATGACCTGCAGCTTGTGGAGGGAGGTGCCGGGAAGGCCGGCGAGGAGAGAGTTCCCATAGTACAGCCTTGAGGTGATAAAGGCGTGGACCAGAGTTTCAGCAGCGTGAGGGGTGAGGTAGTGCCGCAGTCTGGCGATGTTTCGGAGGTGATGGAATGTAGTGCCATTTGTGGTGCGGATATGAGGAAGAAAGGACAGCTCAGGGTCGAACAGAACCTCGAGGTTCCTGACTGCTTTGAGAGGTGGAGAGTGCAGCCTTGGATGCTGATGGTGTCAGCGCCTGAGGTGCGGAGGTGCTGACGTGAGCCAATCAGGAGGGCCTCAGTTTTGTGCACGTTGAGGTGAAGAAAGTTGTTTCTCGTCCAGGACTCGATGTCGGACAGGCAGCTGTCAGGACATCGGTGGTCGTGGATTTGAGGGTAGAAGAGGAAACGTAGAGTTGGGTGTCATCCGCATACATGTGGAAATTAACCCCATGTCTGCGGATGATGTCACCAAGAGGGAGCACATAGGAGGGGACCGAGGACAGAGCCCTGAGGGACACCGCACGAGACAGTGCGGGGGCTGGAGGAAAAGCCGTTTGCAGAGACAAAGTGAAGACGGTGGCAGAGGTAGGACTAAACCACTCAAGGACAGGGCCTTGAAGGTTGAGGTGGGAGGACAAGCGGTGGAGGAGGATAGAGTGGTCGACCGTATCGAATGCGGCCGATAGGTCGAGGAGGAGGCAAAGGGAGCCCTGGTTCCAGATGGTCAAGATGTCATTGGTGACCTTGACCAGGGCAGTTTCTGTGCTATGGGCAGCACGGAAACCCGACTGGAGGAGTTCCAAAAGTGAGTGGGTGGAAAGGAAAGAGCGCAGCTGGGAGGCGACAACTCTTTCGAGAACCTTGGACAGGAAGGGGAGGTTGGAGATGGGCCGGTAGCTTGATAGCTGCGATGCATCAAGGGAGGGTTTTTTCAGTATGGGAGTGATGGTGGCAGTTTTGAGGGGAATGGGAACAGAGCCAGAGGAGAGGGACAGGTTAATGGTGTCTGTGAGAAGTGGGGCAAGGAGGTGGCGCTGGGAGATGTGGAGTGGGGATGGGATCCAGGGAGCAGGTGGTGGATTTCAAGGACAGAATGAGTTTGGTGACAGAGGGTGGGGAAACGGGTTCAAAGGTGTGTAGGGGAGGATGGGTAGGAGTCGGAGTGTGGGAGGGAAGGGTGGGGGCTGGGTGGAAGTTGGGAGGGGCAGTTACCGCGGTGCGGATTCCCTTGATTTTGGATTCAAGGAAATCCAGCATCTCCTCGCAGTGAAGGTTGGAGGAGATGACCTGCGGGGGGGACGGAGGAGTCGGGATGTGGTAGAGAACAGAAGCCTGGGGTTGTTCTTCGCCTCCAGGATTGTCCTGGAGTAGAAGGACTCGCCTCACAAGCCAGAGACCTGGGCTCAATTCCCAGCAGGGCAAAATGTTGAGTAAGTTTCCTTACTCCAAACGCCTCTTGTTTATCTAGTGGTAAGTAGGAACCCGGTTGTTAGTCGATTGGCAGATTGCTTTTTTAGGGGCAATAATTCCTTCAAAAAAATAATAATAATAAATTGGTCACTTCAATACCCAGCTGTTTGTGGGACACTGCTGTGCACAATTGACTGCCGCTTTCTCCCACAAAATATACAGTCAATTCACTTTACAATATATTCTGTGAAGCGCTTTGAGACGTCTCAAAGACGTGATCAGGCGCTATATCAAGTGCAAGGATTATTATTTATTATATCTTCAGTGATGGTTGCAGGGTGAGCCACTACGGTTACAACTGAAGCAAAGCTGTGGCTTATGTTTTGTTTAGAATGAATGCTGTGAGTGAAATATCTTCCAGGCTACAGGCCAGATGCTGGTTAGAGATCAGGCATCTTGAAGCTTCTGACAGAAAGGGCCACAATAACTTTTATAGAGAATGCTGGCCTGGCTTGACTAAAATAGGCCCTTGAGCTCTCAAAACCAAGATCTGCAGCACCCAAGTTTTGGTTGGTTTGCTGATATTTACTCACTGGCATTATTTGGGGGAATGACTCACATTTAGTTTACATGATCTCATTAAATTCTATCGAAGATACAAAAGTGACGATGGTTGATTTTTTTTTTGTGCGCATTGTTCTGCCTTGGGGCAGAAATGCACTTTGTCTCTTTTTGTTATAATTTTGTATTTTGTTCCATATAGTGCCAATAAAAATTGTTATATTTTGGACATTTCTGTATTTATAGGTGATAAACCATTCATGTTGGGGAGTGGTCTGTGACCATCATAGCTCCATATTTACTTTGCCTGTCGAGTTCAAGATCCTTGTCATCACCTTTAAATCCCTCCATAGTGTTGGCCCACCCTAACACAGC